ATTCCACATCATATAATGAAAGACTGACATCATATAATGATACATACACATCATATAATGTTAAGTTGACTCTATATAAAGATTGTTACACATAATATATTCATTAATGCACATCGTATAATGAAAGACTGACATCATATAAGGACGTGTTGACATCATATAATGTTAAGTTGACTCTATATAAAGATGGTTTCACATAATATATTCATTAATGCACATCATATAATGAAAGATTGGCATCATATAAGGACGTGTTGACATCATATATTGTTAAGTTGACTCTATATAAAGACGGTTCTACATAATATAATGTTATTTTGACTCTATATAAAGATGGTTCCACACAATATATTCATTAATGCACATCGTATAATGAAAGATTTACATCATATAAGGACACATTTACATCATATATTGTTAAGTTGACTCTATATAAAGACGATTCTACATAATATACTGAAAAATACACAGTGTATATTGATAGATTGACATAATATAAGGAGACATTGACATCATATAATGTTGACTCTATATAATTATTATTCCACATAATATATTCATAACTTCACATCATAAAATGACAGACTGACATCATATAAGGACAGACTGACATACTATATTGTTATTTTGACCTTATATAAGGGTGGTTCAACATAATATTTTCAAAAATGCACATCGTATAATGATATATTGACATCATATAAAGACACATTGACATCACATATTGTTCAGTTGACTATATATAAAGATGGATCCACATAATATATTGATGAGTGCACGTTGTATAAGGAAAGGTTGACTCAGTATATTGCTATTTGGACATAACAATGTTCAGGTTTATAATTATAAGACAGTCAAGGCTTTCCATACTTGTTACCTGAAGAAAATAGGGCTTAATGTAAAATAATATGTCATAAAGTCACGGAGTACCAAAATGTAAACAAAGGAGTATTTTGACATAAAAAACGCAGACAGTTTCAGGCAATCGGCCAATGAGTAAATTGTAAGAAACTTTAAAAAAAATACCAACAATAAAAAAAATTTGAAAACATTTCTGGGGCATAATGGGCCTTTAAGTATAATTATTTTAGATCGATTTATATGAAAGTTTGAATCTTAATTTAAAGATTCAAGGGTATTAGTCATAGGTGTTATCTGTACTTGACAAATAAGTAAACACGGTAGTACTCAAACCCACGATTTATCACACACCCGTGCCGATTTTGCGACTCCGTAAAAATGGTATTGCACGGCCGTGCATATATTTTGACGTGACGTCATTAGCGTTATACAAACATAGTGTAAAGACGCGCTAAATGTTATCGTTATACTATAGGCGCGTCAATGAAAAATGACTCTTTTTTCACTTTAAACGGTCTTTATTTTGGGTATGTGATAAATAGAATATTAAATTTGTGTAAGTTCATTACTGAATTTATTGCACTCGTTGAAAAAAATAATATCATGCTCGCCAAAGGCTCGCATGATATAATTTATTCAACTCGTGCAATAAATTCAGTATTGAACTTACACTCATTCAATGTCCTCTATATCTGGGTTTAAAGGGGATTGGTCTACAAAATGCAAATTTTTAAATCAGTATTTGAAATATTGATAAAAACAACAAAAATGTATCATTTGAATATTCTTAAAATATTTGTTGACAAAGGATTTTTTATTTAGTTCCAGTTGCTTAAGTATGGACATTTATATGATTAATAATTTTTGTTCTAGAACAGTTTATTATCTGCTATATATAGATATGTAATAGTAGGTCATGTATCTCACACTTACCAACAACATCTGCATATAATTATTTCATGAATACAAAATGCTATTAACATAATTATATGGTAAAACGAACCTTCTGTAACTGACCAATTCACTTTAAAGGTAAACAACTTTGCCACTAGACCACCGCTCCTTTCGTTTCTCATATTAAACAGTTTTACTTAACGTTACCATGATCTGTATTTATCTTGTGTATGTGTATAAAAATTGTTGAACGAAGATGGAATAATATAAGAGAAATCTGATCTATTATAGCAAATTGTTAAATGTAGATGGAAAAATATTAGAGAAGACTGACCTATTAAGTAGTGGGGACCATTTAACCAAATAGCTGATTCACACCAAAGAATAGGGTATTGTCATGTAAATGGTTAAATATACTTTTTATGCGATCATCTATATCCAATATGTCATTTCAGTTTAAAGCGAACAATAAAAGTAAAAACACCATCCCCTGTTATAGCTTGTATAGTAAAGACATCAATATATATACCATCCTTACAAACCATCTGATTTTATTTGACAACTTTTATGGCATATTATTCTCGTTATTGTATTGAATAAAGACGTCTAAAGAAACGAACATTTCTAAAGTACGTGATATACAACAATTGCCCAATATATGTGTGTATGTTCATATAAAATTGTACTATTAATATTATATACTAGAATTGTACTATTAATATAACTAGAATTGTACTATCAATCTGCAAACATGATGCAAACACGGCTTGAAATAGAGCTAAACTACAATGCTGATGTTACAAAAAATCATTTTATATAATGTATCTACTGTAATATATCTACTGTAACAAATCTACTATACATAATATATTTAATGTAACATATCGTACAAAATCAACTAAATGAACTGGTAAAATCGAAAAATATTGTTGACAACATAATTCTTTAATTTATTTCCCTAGACCAAGTCTGAAGATAATTAAGCCTTTGTAAGACTTTAAATGTACGTTTATATCTACATATTTCCCTTAAAATATATATTTTATTTATCAATGTGATGCAACTCTTTGAAGTAAATACATGTATTTTGAGTTACCAATTATTTTCAAAGTAAAATTCAAAATAAAAAGATATTTACTTCCACCATAACAACATAATGAATCTAAAAATAATAGATACAAAACTAATTAAATGACGATAATTGGTAATATATAAGTAGATAAGCTTGGCAGAAGGCAGAAAGAAAAATAAAAGAAGTTTGCTGTTGTTCAAACGATTTCTTACATGTAATATGGTCATGTGTAATTGGCTAGCGACGCGGGTTATATATACACCCGTTTACGAAACCATATAAACTTTGTCAAAATGAGCTTTATCATTATTAATATAACAGGCTGGTTTTATTCATTATAAATACTAATATTTTATACCAAAACTATTCTTCTTTTATTCATATTTTGAAATGACTTATTTCTATCCAGCTAGCTTACGGAACGTCGGTAGCCCGTTCGTGCTTGAAATAATGCACGGAGGGACACCTGAGGTCTTCCTCCACCAGTAGAGCTGGAACGTCGCCATATGACCTATACTGTGTCGGTCTGACGCAAAACCCAATTAATCAAACAAGAGACTTGCTTATTTTATTCCGGACTAAATAACTATTTAGGTGTAAAGCACATGCCTAAATGCATTTTCATGTTGCCCGCTTTCATTGACTTACATCATTTGAGGTTTTAATGTAACAGTAATGCATTTTCTTTGATATGGTGTTAGATAGAAACGCTCCAAGTGTTATCTTATTTGTAGTTTCACACTCTGTGAATAGTGATAGGCAAGTATTAACTGAAATGAGGCAGGTCATCAACGTTTGGTCAACCAAACCAAATTCACTACAAAATCTTCTTATTGTTATTTCTTTATGATTTAAAGGCAGTCTTAAATCTTAAAGTACAGCCATATCGTTTCACAAGCCAGTGGGTTAAAGATGAAAAATAAATTTAAAAAAAAAAGTTATTTTTTTATCTAAACATCATAGATCTTGCTCCATTTATTCGAGTAATTGGCAATCACCTATGACATCAGAATGACATTAGCAATCTTGATTTTTTTACATAAAATTTTGCTATCTCAAATTGATTAATAATGCGTGAAACATATACTACAAGGATAAATGAGCAATAAAAGCATGTGGGCATTTTACCCATTTAAAAATGCATGACAAATATAATTTCGTGCAAACCTTGCTTGTGAGGTCATCTAGTGTTATTGCCAATAAATTCAGAATAGTGAGAAAATAATATAGTATATTAACTGATTTCATTTTTTCAAGGTTTGCTTAATTTTTTTTATAATATCGCAAAACATCTTATTTATGTAAAATATGCCGATTCATATTGTTTTGTGAGCTGATGAAAACACAAATGCTTCAACGCCTGTTTTTTTTTGTTCTTCTTGTTGGATAGCAAAGAAAAAGAACAGGCTGATACAAGGGTTATACTATATATTTAGTCCACCATTTATTCAACAAAAATGAATGCCAGTAATTTATCAAAACATGACAACTAGCATATGTACGCATATTAATTCTATTTATTTCAGATGTGATTTTCCTTTTACTTTCTTGATTGAAATGAAATATTTGTAAAGACACGCCATTAATCATCAAGTTAAATAATGAATTTAAAACGAAGTTTTCTTCAAAAATTGCCTCCCAGTTATTGAAAGATTGATTGAATAATTACAAAACTATTTAGTCATATTAAATTAGCTCGACATCAATACATATCAATTTTAAAATTTTTAAATGGTAAACGTGCTGTACGCATTTTATAAACAGAAATTTGCTATCAAAATGTTTTTAAATAGTTTTTCTTTGATACATTAAGATATTATGCTTGCACGTGTAAATACGTGTAATTTTAGTAAAGCTCACGGGAGGTACATGTCTTTATTTTGTTTAAATTTATTCAATCTTAATAGACATTTCGCCGAAACGGTTCCCAAAATATTATGACAAACTACAATCTTTGCATGCTTAACTTTAATGTTCAAGAAATTGATTTGGCCTCTGAATTTCTGAATATAACTGATATGTTTTGCCGCCTTATAATACATGTATATGATTCTATTACTCAATGGTTAAAAATTATGGCATGTTAGTCATTGTAAATCTAGTTTTTATAAAGTGAAAATAAAATCTACAAATTATTATTATGGCATATTCATTTCTTTCTTTTTTTTTCTAGATATTTAGACAAATACAAATGCCGATGGTGCCTGTGTGGTTTCTGATTATCAGCAGTTTGGTGAGTTACTGTTCGTTTAGTAATGATTTTAACACTTATATTTATTTTTGTTCCTTTTCGAATGAATATGTGGCGCTATCCTTCAAGTAACAATAGCGTCTAAAACTGGTTTGATAATTACACCTTAACCTGCTGAATTTCTTAAATATTCTTGTCCTTGATTAATTTTGCTAAGTTTTAGAGATTTTAATTTACAAAAGACAAAGCTACTAATCCCAGCCGTATACAGCCAGGTTAGACTGCACATTCTACCAGGCTCTCTACTGGTCATAATCGTAGAACATCGGGTCTAACCGGTATACTTCGGATAAAGGTCTTGTGCGTAGAACACAAATACACCCATGCTATTCGCCCTTGTTATTATGCAGTGTTCGTTCGCGATAAAGTAATACAACTTCTGCAAACTTTATCAGGGAAATTGGCTGTTATCAAAGTTAAAATATCAGTGAATATCATTCTTTCTTCCATTATAAAAAGAAACATACATCATTTTTGCAATAAAGGTGGCTCATGGAGGTTTCCATTTTACCACGTGACTGCAAGTAGTTCCAATATTTCACCTTATTAAGTCAGCGGTCTGTTGCGAAGCTTACTAGCCAAGAGATGTTGGTTTTAGCGGAAAGCTACACGATTTAAACGAAAGCAAGCACGTATGTGTCCAAGGCAATTGATATGCAATTACAAAAGTATTTCAATATCTTCATGGAAAAATTATTTCAAAAAATAACTTGTTTATAACATCAGTAAGAAGAGTGAATCATAAAATATGGTAGATACTAAAAGCACCCAAACATATAAAAAAAGAGGCCAACGGATTTAGATAAAAAAAAATTTATGTACCCACATTAACATGAAAAGGATATTATATGCTTTTTAAGTTTCGTAATACATTATTTTCATCTAAAAAAAAACAAAATTTATAAAATTTCAAACCACTAGTCAGTCAAGCATGCATAGAAATAATTCAAAGCGTCTTTTATTTTATGACATGTTTATGTCATCGTTTTAAACTTTATCAAAGGCACTCTGACATATCCAAACAAAATAGTTTTCAGATCATATCTTCGTATCAGTTGATATAATCAAAGTCCAACCATTTATCATGTGGTATGAAAATATAGGATCTTGTCGCATTTAACATTTTAATGCATCATTTATTATTAACAGTTGTTCGTTATCAGTTATAGAAAAGTTGCCTCGTTATCAATTATGGAATAGATGACTTGATATCAATTATGGAATAGTTGACTCGTTATCAAATATAGAATTGTTACCTCATTATCAGTTATAAAATAGGTTCCTCGTTATCAATTATGAACTAGTTAACTCGTTATCAATTATAGAATTGTTGACTTGTTATTAATTATAGAATAGTTGCCTCGTTTCATATAATAAAAGTTGCCTCGTTATCACTTATGGGATAGATAATTTGTTATCAATTATAGAATAGTTCCATCGTATCAATTATAGAATAGTTGCCCCGTTATCAATTATAGAATAGTCACCTTATTATCAATGATTGAATAGTTGCCTCTTTATCAATTATGGAAAAGTGTCTCGTTATCAATTATAGAATAGTGTCTCGTTATCAATTATAGAATAGTGTCTCGTTATCAATTATGGTAAAGTGTCTCGTTATCAATTATGGAAGTGTCTCGTTATCAATTATGGTAAAGTGTCTCGTTATCAATTATGGAATAGTGTCTCGTTATCACTTATGGTAAAGTGTCTCGTTATCAATTATAGAATAGTGTCTCGTTATCAATTATGGTAAAGTGTCTCGTTATCAATTATAGAATAGTGTCTCGTTATCAATTATAGAATAGTGTCTCGTTATCAATTATGGTAAAGTGTCTCGTTATCAATTATGGAATAGTGTCTCGTTATCAATTATGGTAAAGTGTCTCGATATCAATTATGGAATAGTTGCCTCTTTATCAATTATGGTAAAGTGTCTCGTTATCAATTATAGAATAGTGTCTCGTTATCAATTATGGTAAAGTGTCTCGTTATCAATTATGGAATAGTGTCTCGTTATCAATTATGGAATAGTGTCTCGTTATCAATTATGGTAAAGTGTCTCGTTATCAATTATGGTAAAGTGTCTCGTTATCAATTATGGAATAGTGTCTCGTTATCAATTATAGAATAGTGTCTCGTTATCAATTATGGAATAGTGTCTCGTTATCAATTATGGAATATTTGCCTTGATTTTAATTATGGAGTAGTGCCTCGTTATCAATTATAGAATAGTCACCTTATTATCAATGATTGAATAGTTGCCTCTTTATCAATTATGGAATAGTGTCTCGTTATCAATTATGGTAAAGTGTCTCGTTATCAATTATGGAATAGTGTCTCGTTATCAATTATGGTAAAGTGTCTCGTTATCAATTATGGAATAGTGTCTCGTTATCAATTATGGAATAGTGTCTCGTTATCAATTATGGAATAGTGTCTCGTTATCAATTATGGAATAGTGTCTCGTTATCAATTATGGAATAGTGTCTCGTTATCAATTATGGAATATTTGCCTTGATTTTAATTATGGAGTAGTGCCTCGTTATCAATTATAGAATAGTCACCTTGTTATCAATGATTGAATAGTTGCCTCTTTATCAATTATGGAATAGTGTCTCGTTATCAATTATGGTAAAGTGTCTCGTTATCAATTATAGAATAGTTGCCTCGTTATCAATTATGGAATAGTGCCTCGTTATCAATTATGGAATAGTGTCTCGTTATCAATTATGGAATATTTGCCTTGATTTTAATTATGGAGTAGTGCCTCGTTATCAATTATAGAATAGTCACCTTATTATCAATGATTGAATAGTTGCCTCCTTATCAATTATGGAAAAGTGTCTCGTTATCAATTATGGAAAAGTGTCCTGTTATCAATTATGGAACAGTGCCTCGTTATCAATTATGGAATAGTTACCTCGTTTTCAATTATAGAGTAGTGGTAGTTTTGGAACATGGAACCAATAATTTCACGTGCTTTAACAAAATGACAATTATCTTTTATTGTTTTCTAAAGAAATGGGTCTTAAAGTTGGTATTCTTTAGTCTTTGTTATAAAAACACATGCAAAGTTAATCTGTACAATTTATTATTTGTCAATTATCATGCAAATATAATGATTATAAATAAAATATTGTTTAAAATAAAGTTTGCGTTTGTCATGCGAATTACGACTTTCAATGGTTTTCGGGAATTTGCCATTGCAAAAATTTTTTACCATGGCAAAAGATGTCTACCATGTCAAATATTTTCTTTATTTTCGATTGTAAGTATGCAATGTCGAACTTTTTAAAACTGTTTACTTAGTTTTTTAAAGATTAAAACAACTAGCACTCAAAGGGTTAGGGAACAATTTTGTAGGAAACAACTATCCGTTCGTGCGTCCGCACGTTCATCCATCTATAAATCGCCCATGCAATAATGACATTATTTCTAAAAGGAACTGTGGTACAAGATATATAAAAATAATTCAGTGACATTCAATATGATGCATCACTTGACTGTTAAATTTGATTTCTTATTTCAGGTTTCATTCAACAAGATGTATGGAGATGCAATAGATGGTAATTTATTAGTTCATTAATTCGTAAAAAATGCTTATTTGCACAGAAACAACCCTATTTCGGGATGAAATTGACCAATAGCAACAAAACAAATACAAAAAAAATCGGCTCAAAAAATGGATCAAATTTTGGATCAGGATCAATATTTGGATAAACTCTAAAATGCCCATATCTTGTTAAATGAAAATAAATTTATTCCAAGATTTCATAAACATGCTATTTTAAGTACAATTCTATCAAATTAATATTTAATATTAATTCTATGAGGATAAACAATGGAGAACATTTGAGTTTTTAAATTAGATGACGATCTTGGACATATTCCATAAATCTTAGTGAATACGGGGCTTCGATATTAGCCATGTCATTATGAAACACGAAATGTTCATTACCGAAGCACTTTGCATAATTGAGCCGCGTCACGACAAAACCAACATAGTGCGTTTGCGACCAGCATGGATCCAGACCAGCCTGCGCATCCGCGCAGTCTGATCAGGATCTATGCTGTTCGCTATCAGTTTCTCTACTTGTTATAGAGTTGGTAAGCGAACAGCATGGATCCTGATCAGACTGCGCGGATGCGCAGGCTGGTCTGGATCCATGCTAGTCGCAAACGCACTATGTTGGTTTTGTCGTGACGTGGCTCACATATGATTAATAGTAGAAAATGATATATCCTACGATAAATTTATCTTGATAGAATCTTAATGTTATGCTCATGCTTCTTTTAAAATTGTTTAATGAAATACACCATAGATGTCTTTTTTAGTCTATCACGTTCATCATTATATAAAACAGTGATTTATTACGACGAATAATTTATGTTTACTTATAATAAAACTGGCTAGAATGACTGAAATCAATTGAAGTTTGCTTGTTTTTCATAAAAGTTAGATGCTAATAAGAAGATAAATAAATAAACGGTTTCAACAGCTAAAAAGGAACGACGACGAAGCAACAGTAGCTGTTTCTTTTCTGATTAGTGTCTCGCTTACCTTTGCGTATGCACGCGCTTTTTTATTCAGATAGACGCGATGTTTAACTGAACGGTTAAATTAACTCTATTAAAAACAGTGTAAACGAAATAGACAACGTGAAATTTTAGATTTACATCTCTCATTGAACGAAAAAGTAGGGCATAGACTAAATATCAATGATTGTCCATAACTCTTGTGTTTTTTTTCAAAGGGAAGTAACTAATACAGCAAGTAGCCGTTGAGTAACGCAGCAGCAACAACAATAAAAACAATAAGGATATCCCAATTCTTCTCTATTTATAATTCTTTGTATTTCTTTGTTATTTTAGTTATTATTAATTTAAACAATCCGCCCGTCCATCCAGATATCCGGACATAAATCACCCATATCGAATAATGGCACCATTTGCCAATTTGTCTATTTCCGTTTTTAAGTAAATGCCACAAACGTTTTCAATTTGATTCACTGTAAGGTTCGAAATTATTAAATATTGTTAAAAAAAGAATACCTACTGCATTATATATTCGAAGGAAAAGATGATAATCTTGCTTCTACCAGTATCGTTATAAAATTTACATTGTAATCTTATAGTGAATCACAATCTTACATTCAATTTCAGTGACACATTTTTGCTATGAAGTAACAGGTCAACCGACCCAGGTGCGTTTAGTTGTCAATATTCTGGTAAAAACAGGGGAAAGCTTTGCTAAGGTTTATGCGTTCGATGCTTCATCTGGGGACACGACGCAATCCGCCAACCGGATTGCAGATGCAGCCTGTATCAAAGACGATACCGGTATATCAGATACCTTACCCATCACATACGATATGACTATCACGACAACAGACGCTAGTCACAGTTGTGGTATACAAGTGGTAATTATTATTATTATTATTATTATAATGATTATCATTATTGCATGTATTATGGTCATGATGATGAGTGTCATTATCATCATCAGCATCATTTTCATCATCATCATCATCATCATCATCACCATCATCATTATTATCATTATCATTACCACCACCATCATCATCGCCATCATCATCAGCATTGTCAACAACAACATCATCATCATCACCACCATCATCATCATCATCGTCAACAACAACATCATCATCATTCTCATCAACATTCTCAAGAGGCCGGACAATGTACATATAATTTTCTAAGTTTCTAACAAAGTGCTATAAATCCTTGCTAGGATTAAAGGTATTTGATTTTTACTTACAGTTTTGTTTATGACATGTGCAAATTTTATGTGAATACATTCAGTAGGGATGAGGACTGATCTCGCGAAGAAATTGTCTAAGTTTACAAAGGCTACAAATCAAGCAAAATCTGTGACAGAGTTATGGGCCCTGTAACAGTTACCTACAATTATGATTCCTATTCAGACATTATGAAGTTTCAAAAGAATTCATTCATTAGTAGTGGAATAAATGGACTGATGGTACAGGCAAAACTTTAATAAAGATTTGTTGCACATTCATAAAGGACTGTAATTCAAGCAAAACCTATGATGGAGTTATGAGTATTGAAATTTGATCTACACCTATCCCAAAGACACACAAGTTTCAAGATGTTATATCTAACATATATATTGTATAATAATTCAATAAGTTTGTTTCTTATTTAACAGGCAACCGAAGGCTCCGATACCGTCGTAAAGTTTGTATTTCGTATATATACGAATAGTGAAACAGTTAACCACCCAGACGATGTAACGTACGAGGCGACTTGTAAGATGAGTGACCTTACAGGGATTGAAATACCCACAGCTCAACTTGAAACTACGTCAGTATCTTAATTGCAGGTTTTTTTTAAATTTTTTGTAAATTTTTTCTATACAATATTAAACTACCTAGTATTATTTTAACACTTAAATAAAACATTATGAGTAAATTAATCATTTTTAACAACGGTTAATATGCATGTAGGTTATATGTGTAGCCAAATAAATACAAATGATGGCGGGATTTGGCTTTAAATATTTTTGGATTTAAGACCCGCCAGGAATCTGCACAGGTTATTGTTAAAAGAAGGTTACTTGATTCATACACACTGAAAGTGGTCTGTAAAAAAGAAAATCCCCGACCTTAGCAAACGTAATTAACCGTTGCTGGGTACAGTCGTGCCATACCATTTTTACGAAGTCGCAAAACCGGCACGTGTGTGTGATAAATGTACATTTGTATTTCAAGGTCTTCAACCGAAGATTGACGAAAAGGGCTAAAATGTTGGGATTGGAATAAGATTTGAATAATATATTAATGTTTTATGATATTTTGATGGGCAAACTAAAATCATTATTATATTAAACTAGTCATCAGTAAAATTTAAATTATATTCAATAATATCATTTATATAAATGGTACATAAAATGGCGTATTTCCCAACGTATATACCAGCAGAGCAAATTGAGCAAAAGATAGTTGATGTTTATAGCAAATTTAATTTCTATTTCAGTTTAAATTTGAAGTGTGATACTGCACATTTTACGTCACTTCCTTTTTTCAAAAGCTTTATAAATCTACATGTAGTGTTTACTTTATTCAGTAATCGTGCTAACACAGTTTCGCAAAGACAGGCGGATGGGGCTTTTCTCACTTTGGTCGATGATGAAAACAAAGTAGTGAATATTGCTAGGGTTGGTGATAAAGTCCGTCTGCAAGCGGAATACTATCCGAACCTTCAAAAGGGTATAAAACTTGTTAGATACGTTTCTTAAACTTTAAAGACTATTTACGGTTCAGTTTTTTGCTATTTGCTTAGAACGTTTGAAGTTTATTGATATTTACTAATTGAATTATGTTTTTTTTTATTTCATGCTTTTCAGTGGATTACAGATTTATCCGTGAAAATTATATTTGATAATTTCACAGTGAAAATTATCAAAATATAATTTCACACTTTTCAATGACGAAATTACTTTTTTAAGATTTTCCCCTTGTGATACCTCAATTTTATGTTTGCTGACAATTCTGACAATGTCAGGCTGTTTAAAGAAAAGCAAAGCTGAAATTGATAAATAACTTAAATGTCAAAGTAATAAAAAGAAGAAAACTTACTTCTATTCATTCAAATGAAAAATCACCAAATATCGTCTCTTTAATTTTTTTGTTTCATTTTTACAATCTTAAAATTACATTCCTTCCACATGCAAAACTGCTCTTGTTGACATTTGGGCATATTTAAGTATCCTACGAGCAACAACTGCCGTATGCTTTATGAAAAATTGAAAAGCAATGACAGCCATCAGCCCGAAGAATAAGTAAACAACCTAGCGTTCGTAACGCTTCCAAGTTTTCCAATTTCCTAGCCGATTTTTAAAGGTTTACACATCTGTCAACACTTATGTATTGTTTGTTACAATCCTCAAATAAGATTTCTTTCTTTTAAAAAGGTGTATGACTAACAAATCCAAATGATATCCCTCTGAATCAAACACAATTATTTTCCTCCGGTGAAATACACAACTTAGCGACCGTTTACATTTAACAAAGCCAGGTCTAATATAAATACGCAGTAAGTAACAGAAATATGGATGGATGGTTGGACTTTCTCTCCTATTTCCTACTAGAATTGTTTGTTTTTATTATTAAAACAAGAGATCATTCATATTTTTTAAATAAAATGAATTATATCACCGCCATTTAACGTTGATTGTCGGACTTATTTCCAGCCCAAGACTTCTTGTATTTAATGAGAAATTCGACTTTTCTGAGGCTCTCAATGGGGACAGATTTTAATATTTACGTTAATAATAAGGAAGTTCGTTTTAACTTGATTAAAGAATAAAATAAGAATAAAATTTGTTTGTTTGTTGTGTAAGATGTAATTTTATTTCATCTCGTGAACTTTAAAAACAGTATTCTCACTCGTGACTACGCCACTCGTGAGAATACTGTTTGATGAAATAAAATTTCATCCTACACACAAACAAACAAATATCCTCTATATGTTTTTTTTGTTGTTACAAGCTGTTTATGTGATAGTTTGGAGTTTATGAATTACCTCCCTGTAAAAGAAAGATGAAGAGAAAAAAATGACAAAGGCAAGTGCAAACTCCTCCAAATGATTTGATCAAATCACTGCATTCACAAACTTCAAGGACCATGGAAAACGGCACGTGATGTCAAAATGGAGGCTTCTGTGACACACGAAACTGTTTTATTTGAAATAAAAATGTGTTTTTTTTGACAAAAACAAACTAACGGTATATGTCAACTTTAACGAAAAGAAAGCGAATGGCACTTATTCATCGACCGGATACAATTTCAGGCAAACAGTATTAAGTGATTGCAGGCACCCAACTTTCATTTCAGAAGCACTTTATTCGCGAAAAGTTATTTTTCAATAACATCACTAACAAAATATGTTTTTTCTGTATCGTGTTTTATAAAAATTTTGATAAAAAGCTTTAGTTGGCAATGGTGACATATATGTTCCGTGACATATACGTCCAATAGAAGCATAGCAAAAGGATTGAAAGTAGCAAAAAGGTTGAAATGATATTATATTCAATCTTTTTGCTACTTATGTGCTATATTATGATAATATACTGTTATAAATGTGTACAAAAAATAAGCTAAATGAATAAAATAAAATAATAAACAAAAGTGACAAAGAAATGACAATAAATATGCTTTAGACATTACATAGTAATATATCATAATTCTATGCAATTTGTAAATTTTCATCTTTGAATTTATTTTTTCATAAAATATGTTGGTTCAACAATTTCTAACAATGAGGCATGATTACCTGTATTTTCAATTTGAAGCATAGATAGGAAATGTTTTTATGTGTCAATCGTATGAATTAGTGTTTATACGACTGTGTATTAATGGTAACTTAACCGACGAAAGACGGACATTAGTGAAATATAACAAATGCAATTGATATTATTATTGTTGTTGTTGTTGTTTTTGAATTGCAATGGTTTGTCTTTTGTAAAACAGGCCCAGACAATTGCGGAGACGACTTTTACGTGGGTTTTCTTGGAATCGACCCGTTAAGCGGAGTTTCTGCAAGTGAACTGTATGTCATAATAACTCCAAAGTATAACTTAGACACCGATGTCGTAGTGACAACCAAACATGGGACAGCAACATATAACTTTGTAGATGGCAATTCCCAGAAAATTGTGTTCCCCTCAGATCTCATGGGCTGCTCTGATGGTATGTTAGTGAATATTGTTGTAGTTTAAAAAGATAATACACCAGTCTGGCTAAATCAAACATTTATAAAGAAATGCTAAAAATATCATCAGTTTTCTTACATTTACCTAGAACCAGTGTTAACTTCGTGTATACAAACCATTAATTTGGAAAAGTAAAAAAAGAGCGGGAAAATAGAAACATATCGACTTGAATAAAATACAGTTTACAGCGTGTCCTAAGATAATGCAGAAATAAATATTACAAGTATCATTTGTAGGTGGAGTTTCAGAAATTGAAGATAAAGGCGTACACATTCAAGCACTGTCACAAGTTCGAGAAATCTGCGTGGTCGTCTGCAGTAAGGAGACAGGACTTGGAGACTGCTACGATGCGTTACCGAATGACGTCCTGGGAACTGATTATATCGCTGCTTCAATGCCGGCTGCAGACGAATCTTCCGAGTTTATGATAATATCCCACGCAGACGACAATGAGGTCACTGTTGACATTCCTGATGGCTATTCACATATAATTGAATTAAGCGGCCAAACTACAACTGCTGCCGGCGGGACCATAACATTTACATTAAATCAAAGACAGGCATTTCATCTTGCCCAAACGAGTGCCACTGCAAGCATGTCTAATGTAAATGGGTATCACATAACGTCTACGAAACAAGTGTCTGTGATCAGTGGTAACCGGCTTTACGGATCTAACCATGCTGTAACTCAACTTCCGCCGACGACTAAAGCCGGCGAAAAGTACGTTCTTATTCCCGTCGATATAGATTCGGATGGTAGACTTACAACTTATATCATCCAACCCGTGGAAGCTGGTGAGAACATTTTTAATCATCTTTATACACTTGTATGTTATTTTCTTGAATACTCATCATTTAAAATAAATGATAAACATCTTTGTGAAGACGAAAATGGTTATTATAAGCATTGCTTCTTTGCCGTACAATTATCAAATAAAGACACGGGTACATGTAGCAAAGGATAGAATATTTTTAAAATTTACGTGATGAAAATTGGGTATCACCACTTTATTCTTAATCTGTACCTGAAATAAAGTGACTTGTTCTTCTAGATTATTTTCAAAAGCAATAAAACATTTCAGAGGGCATCCATAAAAGTAACTACTATGTAGCAACCTTATTTGTACCCCTTGCAAAAAATATATAAAAAAAATCACCCTTGTTTGTGCGTGTGTGTAATGTAAAATATTTCTTATAAACTCTCTAGTATATAATATGCAATAATTGTAGCTTATGTTATATTAAAATGTGCCACGAATATCACTAAATATGCAAACCAATGACATTTTAGGTGATACTGAAGTGATAAGGTATTTGACGGAGACAACATCAGATTCTTATACTGTACCATACGGCGAGTATCTTTCTCTGGAAGTTGACACTACTCCTTTTGAAATAACGTCGGACAAACCGATTTCAGTCACTCAAATTGTAAACGGACCTATAAATTCAGGTATGGAAACAAATAAAATTTTCGTTTTTCTTCATATCTATTATCTGTGTCTGAAAAGTATTTCGAGCATTAAAATAGAATACAAACAAGATTATTTACCTGAACTATTGATTTACTGTATAATTTATGCCAGAGTGTGATCACCCAAGAGGGCTAAATCAATATACATGTACATGTTTATGTATGTATTCACTATTACACAATTTACACTTACATTTTTATTACGCTTCTTCTTATTGAGCTTTATAATAACGCACGTTTGTAAAGTCCCTTTTCATTGGATAATCGCGTCAGATGTTTGTATCCCCCAACCACAAAATAACAAAAACAAAATAAAGATAAAAAATTACATGCTATAATGATTTATGAACAGGTACTGCCGGTTCGTCAATGACATGGATACCTCCTGTGAATCGCTGGTCTTCAGTTTACACAATCAGTCATCCTGAATATGTCACCACTCCCCTGACTGTGTTTAAATCCCAGGAAGACGCCGATGCATACAGAGTAAAAGTCGGAGATGGCAACCCTATTGCTATTACTCCGCCTCGCGTAGATGTTGCAGGTTTGAAGTTCATTTTTCTAACATTCTCGGTAGAATTTAGATAAATTCCTCTAAATGCTGTCTTTATTTTGAGAAAAAGAAATAAGGAAAGAAAGAAAGAAAGAAAGAAAGAAAAAAAGAAAGAAAGAAAGAAAGAAAGACAGACAGACAGACAGACAGACAGACAGACAGACAAACAAACACAGAAAGAAACAAAGAAAGAAACAAAGAAAAGAAAATGGAACACTATCTAAAACATTACCACTGGTGTGTCTAACCATGTAGCTATACGACAAGATGTCTTTTATATGGTATTTTTATCCACAATGGTGTATTACTCAATTAAATTGTATCATAGTTTGGGGACCTTTCTAGAGTTAATTCGTATACATATACATGCACGTACGGTGCGTTAACTGATGGAGTTCATGTTTTAGTTACCCGCAATCCAAAGCATGCGGCCATTGATTTTTTCTGGGGTTTACTTATTTAATTACTCTATATTGTCAATATACCATGACGTTCCCATTGCTTATATAAACTCGCTTGAAATAAAAAAACCACAGACACACATTTTTGTCCCCCGCCTTTTCGAAGAAAAAAGGTCTCCGTCCGTCTGTCCATCCGTCCGTCCTTCCGTCACACTTTCGTGTCCGGTCCATAACTTTGTCGTTTATCAAAGGAATTTGAAACAAATATTTGTTATAAATATTTTTTTTATAATTAAAACGATGTGTCCCTACGCAAAAAAACCAAACCCCCACCTCCAAAGGTCAAAGGTCGCAAAGGGCCCCCATTTTTTATTTGAGGGTTTTATGTCCCTTTCCGGGGCCTTTAAAATTTTTTTATCTTTGGGAAAGGATTTTGTAAAACTTTCCACAATTTTTTCACCCAAAATTTAACCCATGTTTTCATGCGCAACAACCGGGCACACAAACCCCAAGGGTTTTACCTTTGAGGTTTTAAAAATTAAAATATGTTACAGGGGATATCTTGTGTCCCTTTAATTAAATGTATTTAAAAAATTTAAAAAGATTTTGAAAAATTTTCAAAAAATAGTCAAATATAATTTTAAAACCAAAGTTTCATGCGCAAAACCTTCATCCCCACACACACTTTTAAAGGGGAAAAAAAAACATGGGTTTTTTATAGGGTTTTTTATTTGTTTCCATTAGAACTTCTTCAAGTTAAGGGAAATTTAAAAAAACTTGGTACAAAATATCCAATATAAAATTATATGTTAAAGTTTCAACAAATTGAGGGCCCCACCCTTTTAAGGGGCATTGGGCACATTAAATAAAGATTTTTAAAGTTTTATAGGGTTTTATTTTTGTCCCCGCCCTTTAAAATTTTTATTTAGATTAAAGGGGGTTTTAAAAAAACTTTGCAAAAAATAAATCACAAAAATTAAGGGCGATAATTAAAGTAAGGGGCCCAAAAAATGGGTCCCTACCTCAAAGGGCAAATTAACAAATCAAAGATTAAAAAAATTTTTTTTGTAGGGGGTTTTATTTTGTTTTTTCCGGGCTTATTCTTTTCATAGTTTTTAAGGGATTTTTTAAAAAAAAATAGGGGCCCAAATAGTTACAATAATAAGACGATATGCCATGCACAACACCTGCACCCCTACCTCCAAGGTTTAGGTCACACTTAGAGGTCAAAGCTTAACATGATAGATTTTAAACTCCGGGTTTCATTTTATTTCTTTAACAATTTTTTTTGTAGATCTAGCATTGATCATAATTTTGGACCGAAAGTCTTGAACTCTTTACCTCAATCTTTTGAAATAGCACAATTTTATGCTTCATATAAAACTTGGGCGGGGGACGTTGGTAACTTTGTTACAAATTCTTTTTCTTGCTTTAAATAACGTGGTTGAAGTCTCAGCACAAAACAATGCCTCATTACTCTCTTAAATGTTATATAAATGAATTAAATGGCCGCCATTTAAATACAAGCAAAAAAAAACAACGAAAAAAAAAACGTTTTGTTTCTTCTACATTATTTAAAGGGCCCGGGGGGTTTCATTTTGGGGACACCCCCACTTCAACCGGGAAAAAAACACTTTTATTTTTTGGGTGGGGTTTGTGATTTCCCCTTTATTTATGGGATTTCTTTAAAAAAGATCCTTTCAAACCCCGGGTAACATTTTAAAAAGGAAACGGAATTAAGCTAAGTTTCTTTGGAGAGGAAAGTAACAGTTCCCATATGTAGGGAATTTTTGTTTTAGTGGGAGGTTTGTTTTTTAAAATGATTAGCGGAAAAAATTCTTGCCTCTTACAAGGGAAACACTTTCTTTATTATTTTATGATTTTTTTTTGTACCCCATTATGTTAATGTAAAGAAATTTCAAAAATTTTTTTAAACTAATCACTTTTTTGGAGTTAAAACCCCAATGGTGAAAATATCGAGAAACTGGTTTTCCCGCCCCGAGGTTTTGGGTTTGAACCATGATCCCTGGGTTTCCATTATTTCCCCGGGTTTGAGGAAGAACTTAACCACTAGGCCACCGCTCCCCTAATTTGAGGAGAAATTTAAAAAATAACCCATAACCTGGACCCTGTAATCAATATTAAAAACAATGTTTCGTTTTGAAAATTTTTTTAAAATCGACCCATTTTGTGACTTTGAAGCATATTTAAAACACATTAACCCGCCGGGTTTTTTTGAAACTTTACCCCGTGCTGGTTTAAAAAGTTTTCCTAGTAGACTTTCAAAACCAAGAATTCCCCGGGTTGAGGATAGGCGTTGGGCAAACCCAAAAAATTGTACCATTTTTAAAACAAAATTTTTAGAGGTTCCCGTCTCTAATTGACTAAAAAAGCCTAATTCTAAATTTTGAACTTAAAACCAGCCCAAACCAAAAAATAATTTCTCTTAAAGTTATAAGCTTCCAGGACAAAAGTCGAACTTAAAATAATAACGTTTAAAGTCAGCGCTGTAGCCAGTCCATTCAAAGTCTATTACGTCACGGGTCAACGTAAATCAAAACAATTTTACTAGATAACTCAAATTTGAAACAAAATATTAAAAATCTAGTAAGTCGAAGCTGTTATTATTTTGAAGTTCAAGAAACAGAAAAATATCCACTTCAATTTCAAAAGTGTATTTTTATTGTAATACTTCTTTCGCTGGCCAGATCAAAACCGATCAAATCTTTCAAGGGTGTTGACTCTAGGACAGGGACGAATTTAGGGCACCCGACGATATTTTACGTCATAATTATGGCGTGTAAGGAGTCGTTTCTTTGTTGTTGTTTTTTTCTTTGTGCGGTGCATATATCACTTGATAGCCCTATTTGTTTAATAAATGAATAGCGTAAAGCGTGTACGAATCTATCATTTATTATTTTAGTGCGTAAAACATGGCCGCCGAGCGGATTTATATGATAATGATTGTGATGGTGAAGTCGATGAGGAATTGTTAGATTCAATAGGTAAATATTCATACGTCCATAATAATGATATACGATCTTTTCATCTAATCACTTGTGTCCCTTTAAATGCTCGAAATGTTGCAAACATTCCTTTTGTTTATACACGTATATATTACTTTACTCAAAGGGATACGGCTCATTGAATGTTCACAAAGGTAGAAAACATTTAACCTAAGTCAGAAATGAATTCTAAGTCCATTCCCATTACACTATATACTAATATATAGTCTATATATTAGTATATAGTGTAATGGGAATGGACTCTGACTTAGGTTAAATGTTTTCTACCATCAAATACATATTTTGTGAACATTCAATGAGCCGTACCCCTTTGACTTTACTTGAATAAATTAGTAAGATGTTGGCATATGCCCATACTGACTTTCAAAATTTGACGAAAAGATATGTTTGCTACACTATCATGGTTTGCATTAAATAGAAATTTAATTATTATTTGAACTTTGGTTGAATGGAAACAGTTGATTATTGATGAGTGAATGTTGCAGAATTGTGCTTTTTGTAAATGCATTTTTGCCTATTGATACATAAATTTTTGATGGAACATTCAAACGTCATGTCAAGTCCATGCAGTCTCGAACACTTTCGTTGATCCGTAGATGGGATGGACGCAACAGATACTCAATAAATTTCATAACAAGACAGAAAAGGCTACAAAAATTAGTTCTGCAATTCCTACTTTTCATATTTTCGCTTTTTACACGAACCCGAAGTTCTGATAATTGACAAATTTCAACAAAAATGAAACAATCGTGTGGTCAATACATTTTTGCATTTTTTAAAACCGAAATTGCCACTATTTTGCTCAAGTAAGTATGTAAACAATAGCCATGCACTTTCTTTGCTACTGGGTTTATTTACTTGTAGTGGATTCTATTAGTCATAAACTTTAAAAAATTTAACATCGGCGTTATCATAGTTGTAAATTTTATGTAATGGTCTTTATTTATGATTGAACCTAGAAAGCATGTATGTCAATATTTTGGTAAATTTTACACAAATAATGACGACAAAGTGGAAAACACCATCTCACGATAAAAACTGCCGAACTAAGGAAGCAAAAGTTGCCAATTGCATTACGAACAAAAACGACTTTCTAAATCACGTTTTCGTTACATAGGGGCATCTTTTTATCGTGTTTATTGTAATCGTAAAGATCAATTGAAAATAGAAAAAAACATACCTATTCTAGACCGGAGACCTTTAAATAATAATGATAATAATAACTTACACATTAAATATATCGTGTTTTTTTTCTCTTATTTGTTTTTTTGTATTTAGCGCATTATTGTATACTTACTTTTCTTTTTCGCGTCTATGCATTGCTGTTTTTTCGCATCATTACTTACACGTAATCTACATTATTTGTTTTCGTTTGAATAATTTAAGATGAATGTTTTATTATATATACATATATGAATGTGTTTCATTAAAAATAAAACACTTGCAATTTTGTATTTTGAGATTCAACTAATCAATGTCTATCTTATTTACAGATAATGATGGCGATGGACTCGTTGACGAGGATGTAAGGGCATTTTTAGTAGGTAAATAATAAGTTTCCTCTTATTCTTTGAATTATCTAAAACGGTAGTTCATAGTACATGTACTTCACGTAATACTTATCTCGAAAAAATACATATAATCATATAAAATCTACTAGTATATATATTCATACATTTTTTTTCCTTCTTTTTTGCAGCGGCGGGTCTTTAAATAATACCATTTGCATGGTGATTGGGTGATATAATCTTATAAAAATGTTTAGAGTTTGGGTCTTCCTAGGCTCCTTGCCACTGGTTCTTGTTGCTGGGTCCTGTGGGGGTTGTGTTCATTGAACGCCGCCTTGTTGATTTTGTTTGACCTCGGTCACAAACTTTGAGTAGTTTAAGGTCATATTTTGTCTAAGCGGTCATTGCCAGAAGAGCGAAATTGTTGTTAACTTTTATTTAAAGAGAGAGAGAGAGAAAGAAATGAGCCGCGTCACGACAAAACCAACATAATGGGTTTGCGACCAGCATGGATCCGCGCAGTCTGATCAGGATCCATGCTGTTCGCTATCAGTTTCTTTACTTGTTATAGGGTCTGTAGGCGAACAGCATGGATCCTGATCAGACTGCGCGGATGCTGGTCGCAAACCCATTATGTTGGTTTTGTCGTGACACGGCTCAAATTTATCTCAATTTGACATCGTATGATACGCATTGTATAATACGCACAGTTGACTGTCGCATTGTAAAATATAAAGCAATATACTTAAAATGTAGTATTTCGTGACGTCATGAATATAAAAATGGGGAATCTATTGTCATTGACCGCATCGTTATCCTGGTTATGATGATGGATATTTTGCTTTCTGGCCCAAAAACGGTCTGTGTATAATCTCAAATGCCACCTTGAGACATCTTATTTCGTCATATCCACCCGTTGGAACGAATTTAACATTGTCGGTTAGACTAAACAAAATTTTAACAATATTATGTCATTGCACATTGCTCAAGAGAATTTGTTTAGTGATTATTTTGCTAATATTTTATTTTGACAACTGTAAAAAATTATATTATATAGAAAAGATAAGTCATAAAATCTTTTGAATTATATAATAAAAGTAATGTTACGACCTTGGCAACGAAATAAATGTTGCTAAATCAACTGAAATGATGATAAAGAAGTGGTAATGTAATGCAAGGTATATTTGCGTAATTGCCGTGTACAAAACGTATAGCATTTACAATGTAGCTATAATAAGTGATTATGTGTGCATTTGATTAATTGATATCATATAGGATATTGTGATGATTGTGATGAGTGCTTGATTGTAGTTAAAAAGTTGCATTGAGCTTAGCCGATGTAAGTTTGCGGAGTACGGAAGTTAGAATGCTGGCAATTTGCAGATGCTATTCAACAGTCGATCCAGGCAGAGTCCAGGCAGAGCCCCAGCAGAGCCCAGGACGATCCAGGCAGAGCCCCGGTAGAACCCCGGTGGATTGAAAACGCCCGAAAATGATAAACATTGATACATAATTTTTATTTAATATAATATCTATTGTTCCAGAATAGTAATTCATGATGATTTTCTGAAAAATTCTTATGCCTTACTGGATAGAAGGGAAATGGGAAGGGTTTACATACAAACAAGTGCAATCATCGCAAATTGTCGTTATTCTTTTAAATGATCCGGGCTTTGCCGGGGCTCTACCGGGATCAACCGTAGCTCTACCTTTATCCTCCGGGGCTCTGCCTGTAGTTAACGGGGATCTGCCGGCATATACCGGGGCTCTACCGTAGCCCTACCGGCTATATCATACCCCGGATCATCCCCGGTTTGTGCCGGCAGAGCTACGGTGCTTCCCCGATATAACCTCGGTCGTTCCCGGCAGAGCTAAGGATGAAGCCGGCAAAGCTATACCTTCCCTGATCATCCCGGACCACCCCGGTGATATTAAATATTTTATTCCATCCGGGGTCGAATGCCGGATGTTCCCGGATCATCCCGGACGTTGCCGGCAGAGTTACGGATGTACTCCGGTTGTTCCCCGGTCGTTCCCGGATCACCCCGGACGTCTACCAGGGCTCTGCCGGGGCTCTACCGGGATGTAAGTGAGACTGTAGCTTTAATGATGAAGTAGTGTTATTGTGTATGTGTAATTAATGTTATATAATGAATTAGTGATTTTTTATGATGTAATGTTATATTACAATGACGTAGATCTATTGTGACACAGCTAAAAGTTATGACATGTACTGATGTAGTTATACTATGTGATACAGTGTTGTAGTGTTATAATATGCTATAATTTATTAAAGAAAGTGAAGCAGTGAAGTGATGTAAAGTTATAATTTTACAATGTAAAATGAACATAAAGCTATGTCAGAGATGGTTTGTCCTACAATGAAGTCATTTTACGTGAATATATTCACAGAATACTCTGGTGCTGTTGCTATTTCTCCTAAAAATTGTTTTGTGTCACCGGAGTCTGGTTTTCCTGACAACAACAGAGTCCAAATAACGGGAGTCGACGGGTACGTACTGTTATTATATCGATTTAAGTAATAATGACTGAGTCCCTATGCTTTAAAAGCTTGAAACGCGGCATATAAAAATCGCACCGTCCGTCTGTCTGTCCGTATGTCACCACTTAGATTCGTGCTGGGCTGTAACTTTGTCCTGCATTAAAGGATTTTAAAATAATTTGGAATAAATATCTACAACATCAAGATGATGTGTCGAGTCCAAGATCAATGTCCCTGTCTCCAATGTCAAGGTGGTAAGTTTGCTATGAATAGCACTTCATTTCACAAGAACAATATTAAGCAATTAGTTACTTTTCTTCTCTTTTCTTTTCACGTTGCCTTTATACTTTTGAAACCTTTTTGGGGGCATTCGTCACTTTTATGTGACAGCTCTTGTTAGAATAAGATTCATGCTTGGACAAAATAACACCAAAGTTTGACTTTGACCTTAAAATGGCATTTACTTTTCAGGCAAAATGAATGAATTTGCTAAAATTGGCCATAACCTGTTACCGGATTATATTCTTTCTTGGGCATATTATTTTTGGTTAATATTTTCAAGTAGGTACAACTGAACTTAACCTTGATGTTTAAGGTAGAAAAATATATTTTTAAAAAAAAATGGCCATTGTTTTTATGCATTAGTATCTGATTACCAAGAATCGGTCTTGAGCTGCCGTCTTTACGCTTTGTCTGTGTCCGCCTTGTCTCTGAGCGGTTGTACCATACAGATGTTACCTGTGATAAAAGTGTGGTGTATGGTATGTGCCCCTCCCCGCTCCTGCCCCAGCCCCCTTTCTTCCAAAGCCCGCTGCAGCTCGGACTCACTCAAACGCCGTCTTATCATGCATGGTCATATCAAGTTGATCAATGTAAAAAACAGTATAACCATAAATTAATCTAACCAGAAATATCGGCGTACAGAACAGAGCATAAGGAAAAATATGTGTCTCTGTTTCCACTAATAACCAAGTGCATGCTTTCCGTTGACCACCTTGCGAGACATATCCCATAAAACCTTTTGCATTTAGGTTAGGGCTATCTAAAATTGCTGAATCCTTTTTATACTTTTTATGATATAGTGAGATACGTTCGGTGCTTAACAAAAATTGAGTTTGTACCTTTTTTACGAAAACAGGAAGTAGACATGTTTATTCACTGTGGACTTTGAAATATGTCGCCAAAAATAAAAAATAGTATTATAACAAAATTGAAATACAGCATGCATTTATGATTTTGAACAATTAACAAATCACCTGCTGAAACCTAGAGTGAATAACCTTTGGTATCGGTATAGAGCCAGACCAGCCTGCACATTCGTGACTTTGGTACATGTTAGTAGCCAAATTTTGGTATTCTGGTATAGAAATCTGCAGTGTTCAAGTTTCAATTCTAAGCAAATCCCATTTCACAAATTCAACATGTAAAAGACAATAGTTTCATTTACCTTCAGATGCGCTGTATCGGGGAGTATATTTGCTATGGCTGGAGAGTTTACGCCCTTTGATTCGGATAAAACAGGCTCGGATATCCAGCCTAAAATACTTCGCAGTGGACTATTCAGTGTTGCTCAGTATGTGGACCACCCTATGCTCTTTTTCAAGTGTGATATTGCAAAATACTGTATCTCAGCGTCCGATACAGACTGCACCACGGTTAGTAATTTGTAGGAGTAACTTACATAATTTATGTAATGCCTGTAATTTTCCATTGTCATTTTTATTAATTTATATATCGAGATTGCATGTCTCTGAATATAATGTATTTGTATTTAGATCTAGATACAGTTATGCAGCCTATTTTCGCAGCTGTACATGTATCTTTTTGCGTTTTGTTTTGGTATACACGTACAAATATATAATTTTATTGTAAACTGATATTTTTGTTTTTGATTTATGTATCTAGCATCTAGCAATTTCTAGCACTTCTGGTTTCTTTTTTATTTATTTGTTTAAAATAGTGTCTTATCATTAGATTTTTGAGGAACTGAGTTAAGTTCAACATTAAAACACATGTATTCTTTAATTAAGATTATGTATTATTAAAGGGTGTAACTAAATCATGCTCTTAATTACATTGTATTCATAGTTACCTACTGTGCTATATTCATGTTTATTCTAATCTTTCTAATGTACTCGTTTGTTACTATACACAAACTTTGTCATAATAAATTGAATTTCTTGTAGGCCATTTGTGACGGTGGCCGGAAGCGAAGACAAGTAAATTCGGAGAATTCCGTTGACAATATAACAACTTCTACTTGGGTGTTCCCCTATGACATATCACCAAGTAAACCAACGATTACAGGTTATTGAATAGTATATTATTATTATAAGTCATTTTATATAAAATCACAAATGAGCAAGTTATTGAAAGAATTTGTTACAAAATTTCATGCGTATCGTATTTTAAACTTGTAATACATACATGTATACAGTAGTTTTTAAAAAATGATCTTTGGTGGAGCTTAATTGGGCCAGACGGATGTCCCATATGTTAGGGAAGGAACCAGCATGTGGTCGAGTAGTCGTCCATTTTGCTAAACACTGCTTCTTTGTAAATTGAGCCTTGAAAATTAAATTGTAAAATGATTTTATGGGCCGGACTTTCTTTATCCCCTTCCAAAAAGCGGGGGGAAATGAAATAAGTTGGCATAAGTGATCACCATCATGAGAAAATATGCAGAGTGCACAAATTGGGTTGCTACCCCAAAGGTCCAGGTCACACTTAAAGGTCACGTGTTAAAATGTCTACATTTTGTGTCCGCTCTATAACATTTAAACCTCTGCAATGTTTTTAAAATAACTTGGCAGAAATGATAACCATTATAACACCATGTGCAGAGCACAATAATCAAGTCACAGCCCTCAAGGTTAGGGTCACACTCAAAGGTCCAATGTTAAAACATCTGCATTTGTATTTTTCATGTCCGTTCTTTAACTTGACAATTGAAGAGTTTTAAAATTACTTGGCACAAATTATCTAGATTGCTACCCACAAAGTACATCCAGGGTGCTACCCCAAGGTCAAGGTCACACTTAAAGGTCGACTGATAAAGTCCGCATTTTCCTTTCCGCTCCTAAACTTTTGAACTACTGAAAAGTTTTTTTAATGACTTTGCACAAATGGTCACCATAATAACATGATGTGTGGGGCGCATATTTCAGGGTACTACCCCCAAGGTTAAGGTCACACATAGAGGTCAAATGATTATGTTAAAGGTCAACAATTATGTGTCCTCTTCGTAACTTTTAACTACTAAAATTTTGCAATTATCTTGTCACAAATGATGACCATCATCACCTACAGAGGGCAACAACTTGGTGGCTACCTCCAAGGTCAAGGTTATAACATAACCAGTAGTCTTGTAATTCTCGTCTGAATGACTTTTAAAATATGGAAACTATAACAAATAGAACATTAGAGTCCCAATCAAAGTATTGTTAGTTTAAAAACAGGACATATCACTAAAGCCCACAGAACAGAAATTTTGCTAAACCAAATATGTAAAAAACACTATGTCTATAAGACCTTGACCTAACAATTCAAATTCAAATAAAATTAGAGGATCTACTTAGGTATCCTTCTGAATATGGAAGATTATTGGTCAATAACTGAAACAGACTTTTGTGATGAGCAAATGTGCTCAAAACATCAAGGTCATGGTTGGTTAGATAGGTCAAGTAGTACTCATTCAAGTCCGCTTCGGAAGGGGATTCAGCTGTCCTTCAGTTTAAAAATAATCATGTTGAGATGTGACTTTTGTAGTTTTTCTGTCAATAGTTCGTATAAAGTTGTTAAAATTTCGTATCTTTATTTCATCTGATCTTTGCAAAATACCACGGAATGTGGCGATATTTACCGAATATTCACGAATGATTTTTATGACAGTATATTATTTTAAAAGTAATGTCTGTATTCACAGAAACCGTGCAGGATCCCTCGAGCTTCAAGACTTGTTTGGACAACACGTACGTGCAGATATCTTACATACTTCTGCTTATTCTAATGTTAATCTCGTTCTTCACGGCGCTGTGTTTCTGCTGCCTCTTCAAACGTAACAGCAGGCGAGAAAAAGAAATCGACAAAAACTTTTACAAGCAGAGAACAAGACCAACGTTTTAATGAGTCTATTGAGGTATATTGCCAACAACAACAACGAAAACAACAACAATCACAGAAAATTTCTTAGAAACAGAGAGATTTTGTTCATTAATGTTCAAAACAAATATATTTATTATAGTAAGTTCGTTGTGAATAATTAAAATATGGTTATGTCGAAGATTCACATGTGATGATGATAATTTCTATATAAACTCAATGGCTACAACAATGGATTTTGACATACATTGACATACTATGTATAGTATGTCTGCGACTTAGAAGGTGCCAAATGTCAATATTCGACAACATTCGTGTGTTGTTTTAGTGCTGTATTTAGTAGTCAATATACAGTTTATTGTTGAAAGCTCAAGTTAAATGTTAACAAGTTAAAGATATGAATTTTGTATTTATTTTATACATATGGTTGAATTCATGGGATTATAATCTGTATCACTCAGTGTATACGTCTTTCACTTTATTATAATGACTACATGTGAGCCGCGTCACGACAAAACCAACATAATGCGTTTGCGACCAGCATGGATCCAGACCAGCCTGCGCATCCGCGCAGTCTGATCAGGATCCATTCTGTTCGCTATCAGTTGCTCTACTTGTAATAGGGTTTGTAAGCGAACTGCATGGATCCTGATCAGACTGCGCGGATGCACAGGCTGGTCTGGATCCATGCTGGTCGCAAACCCATCATGTTGGTTTTGTCGTGACGCGTCTCATATGTTTTTTGATGACCATAACTTAATTTTGTTGTTAAAAACCCATAGAATAACTCATCTTGCTTCATATTTAATCTATTGTTCCCCTCTAAATGAGCAGAAAAAAATGTTACTTTTTTGTTGTTTTTTTAAACATTAAAATCAGTGAATTTGTTTCCATAAAAAAATACCATAAAATATCTAAATTAAAAAAGCATAAAATTATTGTTAAACTGTAAAAAAAAAACTCATAGAATTCTTGTTAAACTTAAAAAAAATCTTTAAATTATTGTTTAAGTTTAACAAAAAAAAACACAAGAAATAACGTTTTGTTTATCTTCAATAAGCATGAAATAACCTCTTTTATTATATAAATGAAATATTGATGAAATAAAATGCGTTTTTTCATTTTTCGTATTTTCACTGTAGAAATTTATTTTTCACTGCAGTCAAACATATTTTTCTTATTTTCACTGATGTCTTGCCGAACTACTTTCTTCTAAATTCAGCCAAAACATAAAATTTAAGGGGGAAAAAAGAAGACAAAAATGTACATACATGTACTAAACAGAAAATTCAAGTTTTTTCCATTAATCTCATGGCTACCGCCGCTCATAAATAATAATAATTGTAATAATAATTATAATGAAAATAATAATAATAGATAAAGTTGTAATGATAATAAAAATAATAATGATAATAAAAACAAAATCTTTATTAAGAGAAGGTAATTAACTTCAGTTGACACAAAAAAGAGAGAACATGTATGCTTATTTCCAGTACGGCCTTTTGATTTAACAATAAAAAGTAAAAGGAAGACTTAGATAATCAAATATACATTTGCATGTTTATTTTATTATTAGTTAGTTTTGTACAAAGTTGGGAACACGCTTTTTTAGTAATAATCTGTTAAGGACATACCGTAATGGAGTAATGGAATTTTACAAAGATTGCCACTTTTTTTCTTTGTCCATTTTAAATTATTTCGTATGTTTAATCTAATTATGATAAGGCCTAAAATAAAATGTTGTTTCCCTCCTGCTACCAACCAACAAAAACCACTGCTTTCCGAAATATTGTATAGACCTTTTTACAACGCGGCCCGCTACTATGAAAAATTCACCGGAACTAGTATTTTCTCGCGCAAATGTTTTGCAAAAGACCTTTTTCCATAGTTACGGATGCGCATTATGCAAAGGGCAAAAAACGCAATAACGAGATTACATTTAATCATACTTAAAGACTTAAATCGACGTGACTTAAAGTTGTGTCACCCATAAAACAGTAATTTTGGGGTGACTTAAAGCGAATTTGTTCACTAAACATAATGGAAATAGCGTTTGTCAATAAGAATCACATTTATAAATCTGTCTCATGTTTTTTGTAATGTTAATATACAAACAGGGATAAATGTTGTATAAAATTTTGAAACTTAGGTTAAGCAGATGCTAAGCATTCACATTTTTTTTGAAATCCATATAACTCAGATATAAGTAAAATTAATGTTCAACAAAAAATATTTTGGACAAAAAACTAGTTCACCTAATTCAAAGACACCTGCAATGCGAATGCATTTTGTTTCGATGTATCTGGAAGATTTTACCTTTAACTTCAATTCAAATTCTGTGATTTTCAGCTATAATTAAATATACCTTTTATTTGTACAGTAGTTTATTATTGGTTGGATATATTATATTTGTTGATAACTGTACTGTTACATGTAGTAGGTTGTTTTAGTTTGTTGATATCTGCTGTTTATAAAATATATTTTAAACGAAATTGTCTTGTCTTTTCATCTAACACTGTATAAAAAATAATCTATCTGAGGCGAGGTATGGAGGTATAAAGGAATAGGTGCGGGAAGGGGCTTGAGCCGATTTCCCCAGTAATGCACTCCGCAAGTATGTGCCATTGATGTCAACGCCTTCAGATGGTCGTGCATTTATACAACTCAAAATTTTGCTAAGGATCACCTTTTTGACATTGCATATTTCAGTCCTATTATCATCATATTAAAATCATATTTCCGCAAACGATACACCTGTACGGGGACCTCATAATCGTGTATTTAAGTTAACGATTTGTACACCTTGCACGATAAGCACATGGAAAAGCATACCCATGGAAATTTGGTGTTTTATGGCCATGTGCTTTCACTTAAAAGTGTACAAGCAGCAAGACGCTCTCGTTTTATTGTAAAACTGTGTTCGAAATTAAAATTTGGCATATCGACATGTTAGTCGTCGTCTTAGAGAAGATGAGATGTTTGAGGCTGGCCGTTCACAAAGGAACGTTGCCCATGTCCTTTGGGTATCCCAGAACGTTGTCTTCAGGATGTGGAACCGATTCCAAATGACTGGAAATGTCTTGCAGAGCCATGCCGGAGCTCGGGAACGTTCACCGTCTCAAGCCCAGGACCGATTTATTGTCCTTCAGGCCTTCCTGCGCCTATTTTCACTTTGGACCCACTTACTGAAAACAAACATAACTGTCTGCGCTGAATCACCTTAATGGGGTGAAATGATAAATGATAATAATAAGTCTTAAACTATCTAAAGTTGTCTTATTTTTCTCCTTTCTCAACTGGGGATTTTATTATAAAGTAACAGCAGGTGGGCAATAATGGTCCTTTATCGCCCTCTGATATCCAGTAATAAATCAAGCTGTTAATAATTCAATACAGAAAAAACAGTTTTTCAAGAGCGTCAAATTCAAGAGCGATTTTTTATACAAAAATTTACGTGATTATAATGTGTCAATGTATAGATGGATCCAAATATATTGGTATTTCTACAATATTTTCATTACTTTTTGACTTAGCACAATGTTGGCATTTTAGCCATATATACGGAACAGACACCTCACCCTAAGACACTATACGTAGGAGTTTAAAAGTCCTACGTACAAACTCCTAATTAGGCTTTTGTATCTCCTACGTAGGAGTTTATTTTTTTTATAGAACATTATGAATTGGCACCAGGACGCTTCCGTAGGATCCAGTTTTTGCTAACAGATGGACGTTCTTCCTGAGATGACGGTATGGCGCGTTACTGGTGTTCAATTTTGAGATCCATATGTAGTTCACCCATTGTCACTTCTATATTTTGTATATTTTAAAAAAATATGTAAACCGTTAGATTTCGTTGCAGTTTGGCTCACAGGTAATTAAGCTAGGAGAGAAAATATAAAATTTAATAAAGTTTCCTTTTAAAAGGAAAGGCTTGCACAGTTGTGCCTTCATCCCAACCCTTTAAAAAAAATTTTTTTTTGGGGGGGGGGGGGTTCAATTTTCTATCACATTTTTTTTTGAATTACGGTATTTGTATATCATAAAGGGTTATTTAGTGGTTTTTTTTTGTTGTGGAAATACGAATATTTTTTGTCAAAACGATTTAGATCTATTCTCTATTGTATAAAACTAATAAAGAAAATGATCAATCGTAAAAATATTAACGTGATACTGAAGTAAAACAAGTGTGCACATCTCATTTCCCCTTTTTCGCAGCGAAATCATTCCTTTGCTTTATAGACAAGTAAATGCACTAAAATACTTCGTTACGTGGTACCAATTAATAAGCATGTATCAACTATGATACATAGATCAGCACGTGGCAAGGTTAATGATATGAATGGGCTATTTTTAGATTACCTCACCAAGAAGTTGAATTGCGTTCAGTAGATCTAAATATAACTCGATCATATAGGTGATTTGGTAAGCAGGACCACCCTTTGAAGACGGAATAATACTACAGTCACCATCCTCTATTGTATAAAACTAATACATACAAAAAACAATTATAAAAGAAACTAACTTTTGCGTCTTGAAAAACAAATGAAACGGAACAATTTCGTTTATAATTTATTACGGTTTAAACCGATAAATCAAGTAAAAATAGAAATCCTATTTATATACACAAACTGGGATTACCGAAGTAACTAAAATAGCTTAGATTTCCGTAATATTACTCCGCAGTATGACGGAATCACCCGAATTGTCACGATTGCAATCGGAACTACATCGGCTATTATCATTAATCCGAAGACTGACGGAAAAGGCCGAAAAGTTGCGATTGGCACGATTGCAGCTGGTTTCCCGTTCAATCATGCACCAACAGATGTAAGCAGGAAACCACCTAACCGGAACAAGTTTTCCAGATAAAATGGCTTGCAGCCGTGGCTGCAAGCCAAAAAGAAGGAAACTTCCCTGTCGCCTGCTTAATGACTTTGGCGCATTTCAAAAATGCTCGCAATGCTATAAATAGAATCGTCTGCTGCTTGAGAATAAAAGTTGTAATCATTTTAGCCAGTTCCGGTGAATATCACATGAGCCAGGTCCATATATCTTGGTATTCACGAGTCGGAAATCCGAGGTTTGAGCTAAAATGACAACATTTGATTCTAGGCTTAACGCCGTCAAAGTACCACAATATTCTCGCGCATACATTTATACCAGTCGGCACATACTGAGATAAAATGAACATTTACTTTGGCAAAATATCAGAATAGTCATAAATGTCATTAACCTTGCAGAAAACAAAAACCGGCAAGAGGACCATCATAGCCCTGGATCGCTCAAATGAGAAACATAGATAAAAAAGGTCAGTTTTTATTTTTCAATGATCAAAAGTCAGTAATCAGGTCAGACTTTGTCGTTTTTTAACCATAGCTGCATAATTTTTACAATACTTGCATTTGTATATGTCTGCTACGAAATGCTTCATAACAAATATCTAACCTCTTGGCATTGTAATTTCACAAATCTGTTTTTGACTTCAAGGCCATTAATTATATTTTTTGTAAAGGTCAACTAGACAATACTACATGCCAAATATCTAAGCTCTTGTCATTGTGGTTTCACAAGCGAATACTTAAGTTTGTGTTCCTTGACAAGTCTTTGTAAACTAAGTGGCCCAAAGGACAGGCCAGTTTTGACTCCAGGGAGCATGGCTTATGATTTTCTTCTAGATTACCAAGAGGTGTTGCTACATGCAAAATATCTCAGCTTTTGGCATTGTACTTTCAGAGAAAAAGATTTTATAGCATTTTAGTAGACTAGACTATATAAACTAAGAGACTCAAATTAAGGACAAGACCATTTTTGACGCACGGGAAACATATATTAAACCTTTTGAGATGTCCATCAGGCAATTTAAGGTGTTAAATAGCTAAGATACTTGAAAAATTGTTTCACAAAAGAAAACTGAATTGGATTTTCCTGTACAAGTCTATATAAACTAATTGACCCCACCCCCATACCCCTTCCTTAGGGCAATTTTGACCCAAAGAGCATGATTTATAGAAATACAAGTAGACTGGAAAGTGATGTTTTATGCCAAATATCGACACTCTGGGCATTGTACTTTCAGATAAGAAGATTTTTAAATATTTCGTATTTAAAGTCTGATCTATTTGTGAAGTTTGGTCAAAATCAATCAAGTAGTTAAGGAGAGGCTGTTGTTTATAGAAATAGTGGACAACAATGAATGATAAACTGCCATCACAAAACAACTCACTTCCGAGTACATAGTGCTCAGATGAGCTAATAATATAAAAAGATATGTTTGTAAAACATGAATGCCCCCCTATCGGCAGCCAATTAGTCATGTGATCAGGTTATTATGACTGACTTTTAACCTAGTGACCAAAAAATCAATAAGGGTTAATAACTGGTCATGACTAATCACTAGGTAATTGTGACCACAAAGGTTGTTTGCAGCAATTTTATGACAAAGTTATTACAAATATCAAATAATATATGCATAAATTTTATAAATCATGTAGGCCTCATTAATGACAGTCAAGTTGTTATATTACATAAGACCTTGAAATGTGTATACCAAAAGGAATTTAGTTAATAAAAAAATATCAAACAAGGCAACTTGAGTTGTAGAGTTATTGGTCAGAAACAGTTTTTACATACAATGTCAATATGACATTGACCTTTGACCCATAAATCAATAGGGGTTATCTACTGGCCAAGACCAATGCACCTGTGAAGTTTGAAGGTAAAGGGCCCATGAGTTGGGAGATTGATCAGAAAGTGTTGTTACCTATAAGGTCAATGTGATCTTGACCTCTGACCCCTTAATGCCAAAAATCCTTTGAGGTCATCTTCTGGCCAAAAACTGCATCTGTAAAGCTTGAAGGTTAAGGATCCATGGGTTATCCAGTTATTGATAGAAAACCATTTTGAAATAAAAGGTCAATGCAACCTTGACCTTTGACCCCAGACCCCAAAATCAGTAGGAGTCATCTACTGGCCAAAACAAATGCACCTACAAAATTTTAGGGCCAACAGCCCATAGCTTGTCAAAGCTATTGATCGGAAACCGTTTTTACCTACAAGGTCAATATGACCTTTGATCCATTGACCCCAAAATCAATAGTGGTCATCTGCTGGTCATAAACAATTATCATACCAAGTTTGATGTTCCTAGGCCTAAGCGTTCTTAAGTTATCACTCGGAAACCATTTGGTTTATGGACTGACAGACCAACAGACAAACAAATGCAAAGCATTATATACCCCCACTTCTTTGAAAGGGGGGGGGGGGGGAAAACATCAAAGACATAACAATTTGATATTGATATCAGATTTTAATTTATTACAAATTCAAAGAACATGTTAAAATAACAATAATTTACTACACTGTACAACATGTTAAAGACAGGGATGATATGAAAAAATAAAATCATATGTACATATTGATTAAAACACAATGATTTTTAACACACAATCATTATAAAGATCTAATTAACAATGGAGAAACTTAAGCAAATATCTGGCGAAGCATTTTTTTCCTTTTCTTAATTCTTACCACACTCAATATCTTAAATTGACTCATCCATCTTTCAATATGGAAACAAAAACATTCATTACCTTTAGAGTTATTTTAAAAATATATACAGACTGAAAAGTGCCGACCAAGATCAAAGGAAGCGTCAACTGATCATGGTCTGCACTGGTTGCATGGGTTGAATCTCTTGCTGCCAGCAGGCTTAGAGTTAAAGTCGCTGATAAAAGGAAACAATATAAAACATTTCTAAATATGACAAAAGAAAGGAAAAAAGAAAAGAAAAAAAAAGAAGAAAATTTGATTTCTTAACTAATAGATATACATCATTGTAATAACAGTAACTTATTCTAAAGCCATCACTCTCTATTGTTATCCAGTACTGAGAAAAAAAAAAAGATATTGCGCCCAACTATATTCAAATGACACCCCCACCCCACCACCCACTTCAAAAAATAAAATTAAAGTGCCTCTTTATGTATTTATGCTTAACAAGGCACCTGGGTCAAACATGGAGCAATTTTCTTGACAGATGGATAGCTACCTATCGTGAAAGAAACAAATTGTTCTTCCCTTTGTAAGAAATATATTTTCTCTAGTGCAGTTATGGGTTAACTGTAAGAAACATAATTACATGTATATCAAACTTGTCACCTTAGTGCAATAACTAGTTAAGTCCTAAATTTAAAAGGATATGACCAGTTATTGCACTAAGGTGACGATTTAGGGTTAGAAATACAAACATTTAAAGCATGATAATGCTTATTCATGAATTGATTTATTAGTTGTAACTTTTGAAATTTTAACTTTAAAGCAGCATGCCTCCAGATTCATGCTAACTTTCATGAAAAATTTGAAACTATACCCAGAGGTAAAATTTTGTGAAGTGAGCAAAGTAAGTAATGTTCACATTGCAAACGTCACTCACAATCCACGTAAATTACCCCAAAAAGAGGTCAAAATATGCAAAAATAGTCATTACTGCAATTAGTCAAGCAGGAGAAAAATTGGTGATAAATACTGCAAAATCAGTCAACACTTGCACAAAACATGTGAATTATAACTAGAATCTTGAGAATCTTTTTACTTTTCTTAAAACTTTACAATATTTTTCTCAAATTTCATTTTTCAATCATCTGGAGGCATGCAGCTTAATTTAAACAGGCATAAAAAATCAACTTTTAAAAATACATTTTACAACACATCAATAATATACCTAACAATACCAATGCAAACTATTCCACACTTTCTTTTACTGAAATATCATGACAAATTCTTTCCATTAAAAAAAAACAAGAAACATGGCAATGCAATGAAACCAGGTTTTCAATTATCAACATTGTAGATAAATATGTTGTATTTGAAATACAAATACAAGCAACAAACAATGTAACTATGTGCAATGTAAAACATGAATAATGTAGGAGGAATTGCCACTGAAGAAGTGTTCACTATATATTCTGTATAAGGAAAAAAAACAAAGGGCCATAATTAGGTAAAAAATTATCCAATCACAAAACCCCGACAATATGTGCCAGGGCACTTGATAACAAAGCTTCTGTGAAAGTTGGAACAAAATACGTTGAGAAATGTAGGACGAGTTCAGCACAGAAGAAATTGTTCACTATATATTCTGTATAAGTAAAAAAAACAAAGGGCCACAATTAGGTCAAATATTATCCAATCACAAAACCCTGACAATATGTGCCAGGGCACTTGATGACAAAGCTTCTGTGAAAGTTTAGTCAATATCCTTTGAGAAATGTAGAGAGAGTTCAACACAAAAGAAATTGTTCATTATATATTCTATATAAGGAAAAAAACAAACGGCCATAATTAGGTCAAATATTATTCAATCGCAAAACCCTGACAATATGCGCCAAGGCACTTGGTGACAAAGGTTCTGTGAAAGTTTGGTCAAAATCCGTTGAGAAATGTAGAAGGAGTTGCGCACAGAAGAAATTGTTCACTATATATTCTATATAAGGAAAAAAAACAAAGGGCCATAATTAGGTCAAATATTATCCAATCGCAAAACCCTGACAATATGCCCCAGGGCATTTGATGACAAAGCTTCTGTGAAAGTTTGGTCAAAATCCGTTGAGAAATGTAGAGGGACTTCAACACAAAAGAAATTGTTCACTATATATTCTATATAAGGAAAAAAAACAAACGGCCATAATAAGGTCAAATATTATTCAATGGCAAAACCCCGACAATATGCGCCAGGGCACTTGATGACAAAGCTCTTGTGAAAGTTTGGTCAAAATCCGTTGAGAAATGTAGGAGGAGTTGCGCACAGAAGAAATTGTTCACTATATATTCTTTATAAGGAAAAAAACAAAGGGCCATAATTAGGTCAAATATTATCCAATCGCAAAACCCTGACAATATGCGCCAGGGCACTTGATGACAAAGCTTCTGTGAAAGTTTGGTCAAAATCCGTTGAGAAATGTAGAAGGAGTTGCGCACAGAAGAAATTGTTTACGCCCGCCCGTCCATCCGCCCGCCCGCCGACATACCTCAATCTAATAACCAGTTTTTTCCTTCGGAAAACCTGGTTAAAAATGTCAACTTTGTCCAACATGATAAGATAGGTTAGATAAACCTTAGGTTATTCTGAAAAATTCTTTACATAAATTTATCAATCACTATCATATTCAATCATTAATGTAATAGAAATCAATTAAATGCTATTACTCAACACACACTGGGAAAAAATCAACTAAATGTTTACCCCAACAAAAAATGTGTAATGGATATATCTAATAATTTTTTTTTTTTTGCTGGTTTTTGGGTCGCTCTAACACAGTACAGGTCATATGGCAAATTTTCCAGCTTTACTGATGGAGGAAGACCTCAGGTGCCCCTAGTGCATTATCTCAGCTACAAACAGGCACCTGAATAGAACAACCGACATTCCTTAGTAATATAAATGCTCTTCATTTAATTTGAAACAGTACATTACGAGATAACAGGATTTCATTATCAAGTGGTTTGGATTCTCAGTACAGTCTAGTTTTATATGGAACTTGTCACCTAGACCTTTAATTGCCTAACATAATTTAAGTGGTATTAACATTAAAGACATACAGGCATTTTAGCAGCAACAATTAATAGCACTAGGAGAATAGGAAACAACTTGGAAGCCCAATATTGAAAGCTAACTGATATACTGAAAGCTAACTGTTACATAAAATTACAACATATTACAACACATATGCAGTCAACTATTGTGTGTAAAAGTTAACAATACTGGTTGATAAGCCAACAATAAATTCACATCTATATGAGATTTCTGTCAGTGTGTGACTGTCAACCTATGACAGAATTCCATGAGTACTATGGTAGATTTGCAATCAATCTTGCCAACCCCCACCACCACCAAAATGGCACTTTTTACAGTTCTATTTTTTTTGTGATGATGAAATCAAGTCAAGCTATCATGTTATAACATTCAAAATGTATGGTACAATAGAACTTTTCGGTACATTTAGAGTGATTTTTTTTTAATAATTTTTTTGATCATTTTACCTCTTTTCATCCCCAAGCCCCTGAAAGTATCAAATCTAAGAAAGAAAAAGTGTTAAAAATCTAAGACATCTGCTTATTTATCTAAAAGATTACCCAAAATTTTAAATTCGATATAAGCTTAAATGAATTAAATTACCGGTATATCATATTATGAAGTTTTATATTTTGGTATGGCATGATCTGATGAAAAATTTGAATTATTCGCCAATTTCTGAAACTTAAACCTTGACCTGCTGAACTTGTGTAATGGATTTGCCCAGCTTTGAATTTGGATCAGTTCAAAGTTTATGAGATTTTAATATCAACATAGATAATGGAGCCATTAACAGTATAGAGCCTGGTCAGACTGCATGGAGACCAACGCTAATCACACCTGGCTCCAGCAGGCGGAGGGTTTAACCCTTAACATGCTGAATATTTTAAATGGACTTGTCCCACTTCCATTTTTGGGACTGTCCATTATCAATTTTAGGGATATCAATTTGAATATCTAAAGTTTGTCAGCCAACAGTATAGAGCCAGGTCAGACTTTTTTCTCTCATTAATTGGCACCCGTATTACAACTAATATATGCAATAAATAATGAAGTATACACATTATAACATAATCAAATTCAATGATATCAATTCAAAACTAATTTTTCATTCAAAAGGGAGGTAACCTATATAAGATTTCCATCCTTTCAAAAACAAGTTCTCTCCCTTAGACAAAATCAAACTGGAGATAAATCACAAAAAAGACAATTACTATTGTTTTTTTCTCAATTTGAAACGCAAATTTTGATTCTAATTCAAAAATTCTTTAAATCTGTATTCTCTTTAACTTAAGTTTTACATTTATTCAAATCATTCACTTATACAAATATAGCAACTAAAAATCACTTTGAGCAAACACAGTTTCTAATCTCTCTTATCAATAATTTACTAAGCAATAAGGAAATAAACATTACAAAAATATCAGAGTTTTCTCAATCTGTGTGTAAATCTAAAAATAGCCAGATGTTGACATGATGCACCAGTCATTTGTACCCCCCCTCGACCCTATCCCCTTTCACATCCAGGACAATTCAAGGAAATCAGTTATTTTTTTGCAGATTTTGGGATACGACTTTCCTAGCAGGGTTGGGTTTATTTCTGGAATTTTTAAAAATCCAAAAGTCAAAGTCCTGGTTATTCTGTAGCGGGGAGACGGGTTGGAAGTTAGAGGGAGTGGCTGGGGTAACAATAAATGGCACATAAATATCACCAATTTTCATTATATTGGTATGGTATGAACTTTATACTTACACATAGTTCAAAAACCATGTGACATGAAATGGTCTACTGCTACAGAAATATCAGCCATGGACAAGATGATTCCTATCCTTGTATATAGTACAGTTTTTAACAGTATTACTTGTCTATCTCCCCTGACTTTCAGAAACTAACCAGCACTGTTTCCTCTTATAAGAAAATATGGTGTTGTGACCAAAGTTAGGCTCGAACCCATGATCACTGGGTTGAGAGGTGGCTTAATACTACTAGTATCTCAGAAAAACTTAAAAGGACATACAATAATAGAAACAAAATAAAAACTATTTTATGAACAAAGTATCAACATGTCATTTCAACACTGAAGAAATTGCACATTTTCAAGATAATAATACAGCAAAGAAAATTGACAAAAGAAAATACAAAGTTTTAAATTAATGAATACTGACAAATAAAAATAATTATGCCATGCACAGAATTTCTGCTAAAAATAGAAATGTATCCTATATACAAACTCTTATCAAAAGCAACAAGTTTTTGATTTTAAAAAAGAACAAGCTATGTAACAATTTACAACATATTTTAAAGAATTCACTTTGAACAGTAAAGTCAAGCACCGAGTTCTTTTCTGAAAGTGTAAGAAATATAGAGAAAAACATTCTAGCCTTTAAAGCGCTAAATACCTTAAGGGAACACCACTGAGGTCAATAAGCTTTGAATTTTTACACTGATAATCTGGGGCACCTAAATAGAAACATAATTAAAGAATTGAAAAGAAAATTTATTTTGTGCTTTGTTAGTCCGTCTTGAGTGAAAAGCATTGCAAAGCTTTTCAATTTTCGGTCATTTTTCACAATAAGAATAATTATTCTGAAAAAAAAAAAGGAGCGAGAGATTGATCTGAAATTTTGCACACAATTTAATGGTCTACACCTACATCAAATGGAACATTTATATCGAAAAATTATTTCCAGTCCCATTATGTCAAAAAACCTCCGTAGAGTGCCTATAAAATAGTTTTGACCATCTTTTAATTTGGCCAGAACAATTCATAATTTTCATGGAAAAATTCAAAATAAGTACTGACAAATAATGTTCTAATAATGTAAATTTATTCTTGTCTTGATTTCTTACACCATAAACAAGGCACACATCTCCTTCTTGCCAAATAATTTACTGCATACTTAAAGTTAAAAAATGAACTAAAAATATCATGAATACTGATAGCCCTAAATGGATGCTTATCAACAAAACTTTCACAAGGCTGAAAAAAAACAAAAACAAAAAAGAATGCTCATTATCATTCATTACAAAGACCTGTTTTAAGATTAAGTGACCTTGACTATGACACTCACACACAAGATAAGTTACCAAAACACCACATATCGAAGATATTAGTCTGGAAAAGATGGTTCTATAAAAAAAATGTGAGTAATAGAAAAAAGGTAAAACCAGGAATTATATGCTAAATCATTTCTTGAAGCAAAAGACACTGTCACATTTATTTCTTTATCTATTTTTTTTTTTTTTGAAAAAACTATGTTGTGAATACTTTCAGGAAAAAAAATCCTTAAAGCAGACAAAATTACTCAAAACTGTTTTCTATGTATAAAATACAAAACACTGTTGTATCTATATGACTACTTTTTCAATTCCAGCAGAAACATGTAAGCAGAATGAAACAGTTTGGGAAAACATCGCTGTTGCATATTTACTATATTAAAGTATTTCCAAATGACATTATACATGTATATCTATTGATACAAAAAAACTTCAACTTCTCTTTCTATAATAACACCAGATAACTTTCACTAATGACTAATAATTCTATAATTTTACTTAAGTACACAGCAATACAACGAAAAAAAACTAAATAAAAAAGGTGAAATAATTGTTCTTATTTTTTTAAAGCCAAATCAGTCTTGCATGCACAGAGACAAAGACTTAATGCTAGATTGTATATGCTATCATCAATTCATGCAATAATATAGGCCCTTTGTTGACCAATTAAGATATTTAAACATCATATAGGCCTAGAATTGCAATAGAAATAATTTAACCAAAGGCTTGCTAATGAACCCAAAGCTTGCTACTTTGCTGAACTTTGAACACTTTATAGAACTTTTTATAAGGTTTCTGTCAGTGTAATCATTATAATGTTTGTACGTTATTTATCATATTAATCAATATTATTTCTTTATTTTTTATTGGATTTTAGCTTTTAGTGCAGCCAGTATAAATGACTATGTTTTAGTTTTGTTGTTGTTTTTTGTTGACATAAAATATATGTAAATGAAGAAAACAAATGTTAACTTATGTACATGTATAGTAGTTAAACTGAATTGTACAAACAGAAAATAAAACGGACAAAAAAATTTGAAAGAAGTGAAATAAGGTAGCTGTAACCAAATCCCAAGGCATACCAGTAGATGTTGATGATATATCACTCATCCTTTTGGATGAAATACAAGAAAATATCTGTAAGATATAATTGTCCATTTCACCGGTTTTGATCTAGTGAAAATACAAAATTCATTTTTTTGTTGTCTTTCTTTGGTGAAAACCTATTTTTTTTATTGAAACCCTGTTTTTCTTCTGCTAATAAGGAAATGCCAACACAACAAATATCATGAAAAACATTAGCAGAAACACCAACACAACAAATATCATCAAAAAACAACATTTAGACATTAACTGACAGAAACAAATTTTCATAATCATGATTTGCAATTTAAAAAACTTATTCAATTTTTAAGTATAATGCAGAATGAACACCTACAAAATCAGAAAAAGCTCATTGTAAACTTATTGAGTATCTATTCACAAAAAAAGGCAAATCAGAGAGTAAACAAAATTAGTTTCAAATAATCAATGATGGATTCATGATGGCATATGATCACTCAAGAGCAAAAACTTGATTTCATGAACAAAAAATAAAATATATTTGTTTGTTTAATATAACTATGATATACATTTCATTTTCTATATGATTTTTTTTTTTTTGATTTTTGACTTAAAATACAAACTAATGAGATATTTTTAATATTTCACCCATCTGTGAAATATAATAAATATTCATTTAAATCCAGTAAATATACATATATCTATATAATGGAATAATGGATAGTAGAATGTTTAATAAATGTTTAAGAGACTAATTATGTATTGTGATATAATGAAATATACTGTACTTTTTTAATATTACATCATTTCACTCATTGTAATTTTTACCCTTTTAAATATGTAACAATATATGGACTATACCAAAAAAATGTATATTCAGAAATAGCCTATTCAACCCTTAACCAACTATTTTCTACACAGTTTTCATCAACTTCTATATTCATAAATGTCCATTACATTAGATGATTACAAACTTTGAAAATTTTATGTCAAGTATGTAAACCAGCCAAGTATATAGATTGGTCAGACAGCATGGACGTACAGCCGAACCCAGCTGTAAACTAGTAGAAAAACCTCCTATCAGTTTGGCTTCAAGCAGTTGGTTAAATTATACATGAACATTTAAAGCAGTTTGCCTCCAGATTCATGCTAATTTTCATGAAAATTTTATAAGCGTTTTTTTATAAAGTGAACAAAGTAAATAATCTACATATTGCAAACAGCACTTGCAATCCACATGTATTAACAAAAAGAGGTCAAAGTAAGCAAAAATAGCTTACTGCATTAGTAAAGCAGTAAAAATATGGGGAAAAAACCTGCAAAATCAGACATTAATCACATGTAACATGTTAAAACTTTGTTTACATTTCTTAGAATCTTAGTACAAATTTTCTCATGCTGAATTTTCTTGAAATATTTTGGCTCATCTGGAGGCATGCAGCTTAAAATGCAATGGCTACTTAATACTCACGAGATGGCTATTTCATACACCTTATAACCGATATTTTATAAACTGAAATTTATAACTTATATCAAAAGCTTACATGTACATATTTTATCATGATATATATGCATTACTTATTAACATTCAACATGGTAAAACAATACAGACGTTTACATCTTGATTCTTCCCACATTTGGATTTCAGAAAATTGAAAAAGAAAAGGATAACATAATTCCCCATGTACATAAAATCAATCAAGACATTTTAAGTTGTTTTTTTTTAATATCTAAATAATGCTTCATTGTATGTTTTTTTAACTGTCACATTCTTACAGGGACTCCACTGAGGTTTTCTTGACAAGATAGGACAAATTATTTTTAAAAAATTAATGTTCCATTTGATGTAGGTCTAGACCAGTATCTTGTGTGCAAAATTTAAGATCATTCCCTCACTTCCTTTTTCCAAAATCATTATTCAAATTGTTGAAAGTGACCTTAAATTGAACAATGTCTCAATCAAATTGAGCTAAAAAATAACATAAAAAATAGAACTTTTAATTTATTTCTGAGTTTATTTCATAATTATTTTTTGCTTATCTTTCTGTTTTAAGTTTATCTTTATAGGAACTTTTAAATTTTATGTTTTAAGGCTTTTGGACATCAGTGGAGTTCCTTTAAAATAACTTTTTATGTGTTACTTTGACAATGTTTTTATTATTTAAAACACAATCTTAATTTTTCATGAAAAAAATTAGTATAATTCTAGAGAATAGTTGCTTCAAGATTAAATCACTTATTTTCATTATTACTATCATTATTCAAAGGAAAAGTTTGATACATTTTTAAGATGAATTATGTCTCTCTATATACAGGAAAACACAAATATACATGCTACATAACATCTAATGCCTTAATATGAGCAACTAAAATAAAAATTATCACACTTAATAACAGACTAGGCTTTCAAGTTGAATTAATTAATAGGTAATCATTAATGATTTCAGTTCCCATTCCAATTACTTTTTTTTAAAGTAGAGCATTTGTTTCTCAAAAATGATACTAAAATTTGAGAACATAATGCTATATCTTGTCCAACTGTACACCAACTCATTACATCTCAAGCTTTAACAGACTGACATACCTTTTTTCAATAATTTAAATAGTAGTTTTTTTCCAATAAAACTAAGTCTGAAAACAAGTCTTACACTATCTTCAATGTTGCCAGACTGGCTTACAATATTTCAATGCTCCAGATTGTAATTCAATACAATAAAATTAATTTTGAAAACCAGTCTTACTTTCATAAAACATGATTGGTTGTTACAATTCTTTTCTTAGAAATCCACCAATCAAAATGCTTAATACACAGACTGGTCTCTATAAACATTCTGTATAATCTCTTTGTCAGTTATAATCATAATTTCTATCAAAACCAGTCTAGACTGATGAATGACTCATCAATCTCTGCTGTCTGTGAAATCAAAACAAGTTCATATCACTGAAAAACAAACTACACTCGTCTACAGAACTGCTACAACGTCTGCTCACTGTTTGACATTAAAGGTTCTGCAGCATCTTCATTCTTCTTCAAACCTGAAAAAATATATAATTAATCAACTAGAAGTATCAAAAGATAACAAAATGTAAACCAACCTTTAGCATTACAAGATAATAATGTAAACCCAACTTTTTGCATTACAAGATAACAATGTAAACCCAACTTTTTGCATTACAAGATAACAATGTAAACCAGTCTTTAGCATAACAAGATAACAATGCAAAAATCAATCTTTAGCCTTCATAGATAATTTATGTGCATCACCCTATAGAGTGACAAGATAATGAAAGCCAATAAACCTTTAGCATTATAAAATAATTAATGCCTTTTAATAGACAAAAATATTAACAAATCAACCTTCTTTACCATTTTACTTCTAATAATTTCTAAATCTGCCACTGCAGGAATGTAATATCACAGGAATGTAATATGACTGTTTTATAATGTACATTATTTATAACCTTTGGAAAAAAATCCAAGGGAAGTAACAAAGATTTTAAAATTTCTTCAAATAGCAACACTAAGAAAGTTTCAAGAAGAATAAAATTGCACACACACATACACATACCTTGCTCTATCTTGGATTGATGAATCTGTAAAGCTGATTTTGACATGGGCTTCTTGGCATGTGGATTGTCAGGTATATTTATAGCTACGAGCATTGCTATTATGACTAAAACTGTACCAAATGCAAACGGTGGACCTGGTATTATTGACTGAAATATACAAAATATTGAATCTATACAACAAATCATATACATTTACATGGCATTTTGTGTATTTTTATATAATTTGTGTATTACTATATGGCAAATTGGTTATTTTTATATGGCAATTGGTTTTTTTGGCAATTTTAGGTTGAAAGATTTAATTTTGCAATTTTTAGGGTGAATTTCCGAAATGTACAATTTTTCAAATTTTAGGCAGAAATTTACAAGTCAAATGTTAAAGATAAATTTATACAAATTAGACATAATACAAATTAATACATACAGTTTTTACTCATTGAGCACTGTACATACACATGCATGTTATAAAGACTGATAAAAAAAAAGTTTTTATACTTCCTAATATACCTTTATACTTCATGAAAAACATGATAAAACTTATATGCAATTATCCCTAACAGCACACATAGATTCAAAATAAATCCCACAGAGACAATTATCAAAACTTCTAATAAACAATAACTGTGTACTTACATCTTTGGAGGTGACCGTATGCCTCGACGCTGTTTGATTTACTTTATGACCTATATTGGGTGGTTTCTGGGTGTGATCTACATCTGTCGTATCATTTAGATCTACATGGAAGAGGTAAAATATAAACCCAAACAAGGCCGGGCCCAGCCCGTTACACAATCCTCTAATACCTGTAACCACTCCCTGTGCCACACCTGTAAAAATCAGATTTTAAATCTTGTAATACATTTGCTAAAAGAAACTTCATCAATATGTTATTAAAAACATTCATTCATCAATTTGTTTTTGTCTTTTATCAAACTGTTATAGTCATATAAACTTCCGTTAATAGAAACCTATTATTATTAAAATATATGAATTATTCTCATACTGTATTAATGGACATTTCTGCGTGGTATTTAAAATTCCAGATATTTCGCGCGAGGAAATATGAGGGAATCTTGCAAGGCTAGAATTTAATGACTTTGGTTGATATTTTACGCTAGAGAAAATTTTTACGATTTTCGTTAATTTGTGAAATTTGCCAATATTTACGCATGGCTAACAGTTATACAGTATGCATGTTATTGATCAGTAAATAGTCAGATTATTGTATTTGATTACAACATAGCATTAATTAATATTGACATTCTCTATGCTAATACTAAAGAAAGCAAAAAAAAAAGTTCTCTGAACAGCAAGTCTCAAATGGAAAGTTCTGTTAAGATAAAGTAAACTCCAGACAACCATAAAAAACCTAAAATATCTGGTTTGTTAAGTTGATTGAGTTTTAATTCACACCAACAGTATCATTGCTTCTAATGACCTGGGATGAACCATTTAAAAATATTAAGCAACCCAGACAAATTTGCAGGTCCTAAAACAACAATAGTAAAAAGCAAGTGACGATTAAGATTTACCAAAATGAATTTTTAGAAGTTAATAAGATGAAACGTAGAACAACACATCGAAACACTGGAGTAAGTTTAAGATACTTTATATATCACCTGCTCCGGACAAACAATGACCTTCATCAGGATAATACAATGAATTTTTGTATGAATATCTGAGCTGCATCACAACAAAACCAACATAGTGCGTTTGCGACCAGCATGGAATCAGACCAGCCTGCACATCTGCGCAGCCTGATCAGGATCCATGCTGTTCGCTATCAGTTTCTCTACTTGTAATAGGGTTGGTAAGCGAACAGTATGGTTCCTGACCAGACTGCGTGGATGCGCAGTTGCAAACACACTATGTTGTAGCGCGGCTTATTTAATCTTACCCTGTTGGTCAGCTTCAGCATGTGCTGAAACAAAAGCACTTATAGCCGGATACGTTATACTAGACATGGCAGCTATAGTGCCCGCAAACCACATCACCCTGAAATGTCATATACATATAGAAATAATATCTTGTCCATAAACACAGCAAACATTTTTAACTATATAAGAAAAAGAAAAGTATTGCTGGTGTTTTTGATAACATAAAACTCACAAAGTTTGTCTACTCGACTTGTTTTTCTTTAAATTCCCAAATGTAAAGCAATAGTTCAAGGGATTTTGATATCAAAATGCTAAATAAAGGAAAGTTTAAGAGAATTTAGTATCAAAATATTAACATTAATCTTCTAACTGTACACAGTCTTTCTAAAATGGCTGCATTTAGGTCTGTTATAGCAGCTACCACTTATCTGTTAAAACATCATTACTTACCAGTCTTCAGAACCAAAACCATAACATGCCAGTTGTATTGCTTCAAACAATAACCCAAATATAATGGCCTGTTTATGCCCTAAATACTTCATAAGTAATGCTAAAATAATAGTCTGAAATGATATAAAACAAGAAAACTTATAAATATACTTGTTAATATACATCGATTCAAAAACACATGGCAAGTTTTTGGCTTTTACCACAGTGCCCTCTCTGAGCAGTTTTTAAGTCTAAGTGGGTGCTGAGTAAAACCATTGATCTCTTGTTAATGTGCTAAATAGTTTTTTTCTATAAAAAGATCTAAGGTAGCTGGCAGAATTTGAATACATAGTGGTAAGAGGCAAGCACTATGAAGCCAGCGACCATTACCACTCTGCCACAAAGGCCTTTCAATAACTAACAATTCAATTGAAGTTCTTCACTAACTTAAGTAAAATCTCTTAAAAAGAACTTACAGGAGAGTGTAACAATATATCCTTAAAAATAATATGCAACTACAGGCCCTCAATTGTATTATGGTTCACTTAAAAAATTTCATGTCCTACATAAAATAGATGAATGAAACCCGAACAATACCCCTTTCAAATAATTTCTGTTATTCCTGACAGAAATTCTTTATGCAATTTTCTCACTCCTGACAGTTAAATTTGGTAAGGAGGTATTATTCTGACAGGGTGGACACAAACTCTTTCTTGTATTTTAAACAAAGGATAATTCCCCACTTTACAGAAAAAAATGCCATTTGTATAACCACATGCATATTACTATAGCCACTTACTTGTGCTATAACTGACAACACCCCAACAACTGCTATAAAGACAGCAACTTCTTCTGTGGTGAAGCCCATTATCTGAAAGGTATAAAAAATAATTAAACAAATGTAAAATTTATGTATTCACACGGTTGTCATAAGTGGCAGCTATAGGCCATAATGGTTGTCTCAAATGCAATTTGGGCCTCCTCAAAACTAAGAAAACACTTGTTGTTGTGTGTAATAAAACTAAAACTGATCGTCTCAAAATTGAAAACCAACATTCTCATAAAAAATTTAAATGACAACCCTGGTTCAACTTGGTTTAAATATCACCATTCCTCTGCAATTTTGTAAAAGAAAATCTTCTGAAAAAAAAAAGAAGATACCAACATATCATATAAAGAAAGTAGGCATCCGAGCATAGCAATTGACCTGCTGCTAATTAGATTCTCCACTGGGCAGAATTTAAAGTTCCTAAAAGGATTCAAACTGACAAACGAATATGATAAGAAATTTAAAATTCACAGTTTTAATCAATTAATCAATCACCTTTAAAAGCTATTTAAAACTTAATTAAAATATTATAAACTAGCACTTACTAATTTAAGATAAACAAAGAAACAGGAGTATTCGCCAGCCTCGGGCAAGTAGGACAGAAAGACTGTGATACATAATAACAATATAAGATAATCAGCACCCATTCTCCGTAATGCCTGAAATTAAACAAAATATGCTTCATATATGAGCCGCATCACAACAAAACCAACATAATGGGTTTGCGACCAGCACGGATTCAGACAAGCCTGCACATCCGCGCAGTCTGATCAAGATCCATGCTGTTCGCTATCAGTTTCTCTACTTGTAATAGTTTGAAAGCGAACAGCATGAACTCTGATCAGACTGCGTGGATGCGCAGGCTGGTCTGGATCCATGCTGGTCGCAAACGCACTATGTTGGTTTTGTCATGACGCGGCTCATATGTATATAACACACATCATTACATTCATCAATGGCTATTCAAACCTAAGTAAACTAACTTTTAAATTAGTGAAAATAGTTATTTAAGGACGTTAAAATAGGAAATTATAATATATAGAACTGTCAACAAATCTGGAAAAAATGCAAGGGGCCTAATTATATTGTTTGCATTGACCTGCCATTATTAATGCTAGATTTAAGATAGTCAAATAAAGGTATCAACTTTCAGAAACGCCAGTATTTCAACATGCTGCACTTTTTGATATCTTCTTAATGTAGAATAAAGTAATGAAAATGTGACTTCGAAAGAATTCACTAGACTTCTTTAACATAATATAAAGCCAATGAGCACAAGCACAAATATCTTTCCCCTAACATTATACTGTACGTTCATTGTGACACTCATGATTTTTGTAGCAAATAAACAGGAAAATTTTAAGTAAGTGCCTAAATTCCTTAACAAAATATTTGACCACAAAAAAAGTTTAAGATGGATGTATCAATACTTACAGAGAATGGATCTACTTTTTCCCAGGAGATAGGCGAGCCCCAGGTGGCAGGACGTACTTTCTCTGGTAATGATTCGGGTATAAAAACTAGTATAAATAATATATCTAATAACGCTATTGCAGTGGCTAACCACACAACAAAATTGTCACTATAAATATGTCCTAAATATGCCCCTATCGCAGGACTTGTCACTAAACTTGCAGCAAATGTCGCAGATACCTGAAAATTGAACAGGAACTATTCTTTAAGGTGTACATCAAATTCTATATAAAGTTAATCATCTTTTTTTCAGAAGAAATATTTCATAAAATATCTACATTTCTACTGATTGTATCAATATTTTGGAAAACTGATGGGAAATGTGCCCTTTGTATTTTGTAGACCAATCCATTGTAAAATATTGAAATTTACAGGTCTCTTTTAACAAGAGCTGTCCGTAAGACAGCGCGCTCGACTTTTTTATTGCTTGCCAATAAAAAAAGTTTTTGCAGTAAAAGGCAATACAAGAATCTCTGTATTTTTAAAGTGAACTAGTTGTTTGATACCCTTGAATATTACAGCAATGTTTATATGACATAATTTATGGTAAAGTGAACAAGTGGATAGGAATGAATTTTTTTAGATTTTTTAAGTTTTTTAGTGCTTGCCTATAATACAAAACATTGACAGTTAAGGGCCATAATTCAAATAAAATCTTTGACAGAATTACCTTCTCTTGGACATGTTTGGGAATCATGATTGTAAACAAGTATTCCAACTTTCAAATTAATATCTCAAACAGTTCAGTCAAAAAGTGGACTGGTACTAAAAACTTAACCAAGATTCTAAGTCGATAAAAGGCCTTAATTTTTAAAACAAATCCTTGACAGAGTTACCTTCTCTTGCGTACAGATGGGTAATGATGTGAAATAGCATTAAAGTTTCAAAGCAATATCTCAAAGGGTTAAGGCAATAAGTGGATTTTACCCATATTCAATGTAATTTTCTAAGTCAAAAAGGGGCATAATTCTGTCAAAAACCTTGACAGAGTTATGTCCTTGTCTGTTGATGAAGGTCGTGATGGTAAACAAGTATGGTCAGTTTCAAAGCAATACTCCAATGGTTTTGAAATAAAGTGAGGTGGTACAAAAAACTTAACCAAGCTCAATACACTTTCTAAGTCAAAAAAGGGCCATAATTCTGTCAAAAACCTTGACAGAGTTATGTACTCTTGTCTGTAGATGGAGGTTATGATGGTGAACAAGTATGGTAAGTTTCAAAGCCATACTTGTAATACTTCTGAAATAAAGTGGGGTGGTACGAAAAACTTAACCAAGGTGTGACGCCAACGCCGACGCCAACGCCGACGCCGGGGCGAGTAGGATAGCTCCCCTTTTCATAGAAAAGTCGAGCTAAAAATGACATCCTTTTTTAAGATTAGATTTTCTAACAGCAGTATATTGAACATAGCAACATTTTTTCCCAAAAACATCTGAATTAAAACTTAAAGCTAAATGTGTAATATGGGATTTAATGTGTCAATACACAGGTGTTTATCTGAATAAAAATCAATGGGTATCAAACACAGCAATTAATGATCAAATTCAGTCAATTGCCAAAGATGTATATGCTTACCAATCCATAAGCTTGACTTCTGTCTTCTTCTGTTGTGATATCAGCAACATAAGCAAACACTACACTAAATGTAACAGCAAATATACCAGACATGGAGATCATAGTGAAATACCACCTGAAAATAAAACAGACATTGATATACACATGTTAAAAACATTTAAGTCATGTATAAGGTAGTTTTTCAACTTTTTTAAAATATCTCAAATTTCCTAAAATATCAAATAATTTTTTCCCAATCTATGCCAGGGGCCTTTTCCCAAATTGGCTAGAAAAGGTCCTGGAATATAAGAAGCATTGAGATCATAGCGAAACTCCTCGTGAAAGAAAAAGCAACATCAAGGTTAATTCTTCAGTGTCCATTATAAAAAATCCTGCATATTTAAAATATCAATTTTCAATGGCAACCTCAAATTTATGAATAAATCTTTCATTTTTTTCTGTAAAGGAAATCAAACTTTTGACAAGTTAGATAACAATGAAAGAAAGAGGAAAATTAAGAAATATGACTTGTCAACACAGATGTAGTTTAAAGCTGTGTGCCTCCTTATGAGTAAAAAAAACATTTTTAAGATTTTAAGAAAAGTAATAGGGTACAAGATTAAAGTAATCCTTTAAATGTTATGTACGACTTAGGACTGATTTTACAATATTTATCACCATATTTCGACTGCGTGTCTAATGCAATTAGGGCTATTTTTGTGTATTTTTACCTTTTTTTGATTATACATGTATGTGTGTATTGTAAATGCTATTAGCAAATGTGTATCAGTTGTATGACTTTTTTTTTGTTCATTTCACAATATTTTACATTTAAAAACACTATAATTTTTCATGAAAATTAGCATGAATCTGGAAGCATGCTGCTTTAAAGTTATTTATCATCTATCAGTTTTGGTTCTACAATGGATCTTCATCAGGTAAGAAAGCTTTTAGCTAATACAACCTTTCATCTTGTTACTAAAGCTTATAACTGTTTAATCTATCTGGGTCATATAACCCTTTGAAAAATATTTTAAATCAAACTAATATTATAAGATTAACACACATTGTGATATTAATGAATCAAAACACAATCTTTATCATGGCAAAAGTAATAAATCAACATTTCACCATTCTATTCCTTTTTAAAAATCTTTCATTTTTACATCTGAAAGTATGAGATTTTATCCACAAGTATGAGATTATTATATCTGCAAGCAGAGTTTTTGGATACTTACATGGGACTAAGTTTCATCAGTGGTATAGGAGCACACGTGAAGGAGACAGTGAGCAGAAGGAAAGGTTTCCTCCCCCATACATCTGATAAAGCACCAATCAGTGGAGCACTTAGGAACGACAAAATCCCCTGAAATGTAAAATATAAACTTCAATGAATGACTTATTAGTTGACTAAGTACTGGGAACTTCCTACTGGGTAGTCCCCAACAGTTCACCATGCTACATACACAATAATTTTTTCACAGTTTATCATATCAGAAACACAAATTAAATACCAAACCAAAGGCAAACCAATGACGTTCCACTTTCTAGCAAAGTTGTGACATGTCACATAAAAAATGTCTCCTCTTTTATGCTTTGAGTCTAAAGTGCATTTACCTCATTTAAAGTCATAATTGTATAAATACCCAAGCATTGTGGGATTGGTTCCACCTTTCTTCAAATGACAGTGATACTTCTTTCTATTAAGGATGCAGACCAAAGTTATATTACAAGAATTTGTTTCATAAATGTTAAAAATAAGTATGTTTAAACTTACATGTAGGTACTGAACTTACCTTTACTCCTTGTATAAGACCATTCATCAGAAATGTATGGTTGGGAAATGTGTCATTCAGCACCTAAAATATTAACAAATATACCATTTTACTCAATATGTAATCATTCAAGAAACAAAAAGTAAATTTATCAACAAATTTCAAACTAACATTTAAGTTATTAACTACAGGTTCTCAAAACCATTTATTAGCCAATTCAAATATATTTGGAAAGTAAATACATTTAAGTCCATTAAATTGGTCCCAACTCTTACTCATTACATGTACATTACAAATGAATTAAAGCTATATATTTGCTATCTTTGGGTTATCGATCTTTTTTTACATCATCATTAAAATGATTACAGAAAACCTAAAAGAAAGAACTTTCTAACTAAATACACTTTACTCATAAAGAAACTGAACAATAAGGTATTCTGAGAGAAGTTTAAATTGGATGTTGTGATTTTTTTTAATAACATGTAATCAAATAATTATCTGCATGGAATTCAATATCTTTCAATATGTGAAGTTTCGAAGGAGAGTTCAACAATCAGCAATTTGGAAACTTTGACACAATAGCAAAGATACTCAAGAACTTGACAAATATGTTTTTTCCCCATCTCATCCCTGTGTACATACAAACTTTTATAATTATATTTTTATAATATGATAAATATATCAAAATTAAGAGATCAGTTGGCACTATGAAATTATATTGATCAAAGTTTGTTTATATCCTGGTGGGAAAAATGCACATTTGCACAGTTCTGGATAACATTTTCCAGTAAATTTTGACATATAGCAATTTGCATTTCTGACATACAGCAATTTGGAAAAAAAAGCATTTGTAAATTTTGACATAAAACAATTTGTAAAAAGTATAATAACAGCAATTTGCAAACTTTGAGGCTTTTAAAAGCAGTACAAGAATTTCTGGTGTAGTGTTTTTTTGTCTTGATAAGATTCACACAACTTTAATCCTTTCTAAATATATGCCAAAAAATGTAAATATGTGTTATAAAAACAAATCTGCAAATGTTTATATGAGCCGCATCACGACAAAACCAACATAATGGGTTTGCCCAGACCAGCCTGCGCATCCGTGCAGTCTGATCAGGATCCATGCTGTTCACTATCAGTTTCTCTACTTGTTATAGGGTTTGTAAGCGAACAGCATGGATCCTGATCAGACTGCGCGGATGAGCAGGCTGGTCTGGATCCATGCTGGTCGCAAACCCATTATGTTGGTTTTGTCATGACACTGCTCATATGCTACAACCAATAAGGTTAAATGCTGTTGCTGTGGGCATGCTGTAGCCAATGTATAAAATATTACCATGATCATAGGGTTGGTAAGGAGGCCCCATGCGAAGAACTCTAGGAAGATCACAATCAATGCATGATAAACACTTGGCTGGCTAACACCAGAATTCTGAAACATAAAGTATTACCACATATCAAAACATGATGCATATATATATACCCTTAAAGGCCCATTACGCTTCAGAAAATATATCAATTATATTTCTCAAAAACTTTATTTTTGCTATCTTGTTACACTTTCCCAAAAATTACTCATTTAGCATATATATGTACACGAACTACTTTGCTCTGTTGACAATTTCTTTAATTATAGTGAATTAGTTTTTTGTATGGAAGTCCTTTGTTTTCACATTGCTACCTTTACAGCACATTAAATACTGCATGTTCAATACTAGTATCTTCAGTTGTTAAACATCTAACATTCTCTAAATTCATTATTTAAACATTATTAAACACATGTTCAACATTTTTAAGAACTAGGAAACTTCTGAGGCATAATGTGCCTTTAACCTCCTTAACTTGTCTGCTTCAAGGGAATTCAATATAAAACTACAACAAAAGGGCCATGATGGCCCTGAAATCGCTCACCTGTATAATAGAACGCTCCATGACAAGGAACAAGTAATATTGTAAACTACAAACAAAAGCAGTATAAAATCTAAATCACTGATATCACAAAGTTCATATTAATTTTGTATCTGAAATAGTGCATGTGTAAAAACATTAGTTTTTAATATACATATAAAGAAAATCAATGGGCCAGGCTAAAAATTGGACCCAAGGGTTTTATTTAAACAAACTTAAGATTTTAGATTTAAGGTGACCACCAAAGGAACATTTCTGTGACGTTTGGGTTAAATTGGCCCAGCGGTTTATCTGGAGATGTCGTTTAAAATAAAATTTTGCGGACCCTGGATGGACGGAAGTCAGACAAAAAGCGATCATAAAAGCTCAACATGTCACTTTGTGACAGGTGAGCTTATAACTGCAAGTTTTTTAAGAATGGACCAACTTTATTTGACCTGTAATAGGTAATGAAGCTTTCATATATTCTTTTATTCCAGTAAGAGTTTCATAGATTTCAAAAATTTTCAGTGATTACAACATTTTACATAAGGGTGAGCATTATACTGACTATCTTTAAACTGATAAAAACTATTATACGACTATACCCCCAGCAGAGCTATTCAAAAAGTGTCTTCTTTTGAAGAAAAACTCGTACTGTATCCATTACATTCACTGACAATATATGACCAGGAAGTTATCTGTGTAACTTTCAAAACAGTGAACAGTGATTTTTAAAATCATTAAAAAATGGATAGATAAAAAGAAAACAATTGATAGCAAAAAAACTATAAGTATTTAAGTTATCAAAAAAACTAATTCAGAAACAAAAAAAACTAATTCAGAAAAGAGTTTTTGTGTAAACTATGGACATTTAGGTGTTCAGAAAATGCTAAACAATTTATCATTAAGATATAATGGATTTAATGATAAATTACTAACTTGATGTTTATCAAAGACCTGCTCATGGGTAACAAAAATCAGAATTTTATTCATGGAAATAATTGTGTTTATAAAATAACCAACTTTATATTAACTTGGATAGAATACAGTGATTATTTGCTAGAAATAAGGCATATTTCCTACCTATGCCCTAGTTCGATTTTCTAAGTTAATTATTAAAAAAACCTGTTCGTATTTATGTTTAGATAACATAAATATTTTGAAAATGGGTTTAAGGAACTCAAAACCAAAACATTCAAAAGGCAAAAAGATTGAAAAGTCAGTAAGAAACAAGCATGGACAACAAATGAATGAGTTTACAGAACAAACATCTAAGATCAGACACTCTGCTAAAAAATCTGGAAAAAAAAATAGTGATGTAGGATTCCAAACTAAGAAGTACAAAACCAAAAGCAAAATCAATGGGTCTGCACAAGAAACCGATGAATCTGATACTGACAATGAAGATCTTTCTAATCAGATCTACCGGTATATTAAATGCAGTACATCTTCAAGACCTTTCATAGATAATGTATATTGTACTACACGTAAAGAATTTAATTTTGGTGAGATATCATCTCCTCCATACAGATGTAGAAGTTCTGACAATTATGAGGCACAGATTTCAAGAATGGATAAAATCACAGCACAAGGTATCCCCTCTGTCCCTAGGAGACGTCCTCCTGCACCTCCACCTCCTGATGTTCTAGATTAAACTTTTACATTGAACTTCAACCTCTGGTATTATTCCAGAATAAAAAGTTATACATTGTATGATGCTAAAAACAATTAGCTTATACTTCAGTTTATTGATATTCCAGCATAGAGTGTTAATAATGTCAGACATTTTATGTTTTTTTATATAATACAAGATTGTGTATATTTCTCAACATCATTTTAGACTTCCATAAGCATAAATATCATGTTCATCACAACTTTTTAGCCTTTCATCATTTTGTATGAAGATGATAAAATTGTGATATTTTTATCTTATATTAAGCATAATGATATATTGGAAATGACTACTATGTGAAAAGCATCTTTTATTTTTCATAAAATAACCCTTTCCCTCATGAGCATATTGTGAAAAATGGCCGTTTTCATTGAAAAGCCTCCGCAACGGTTACAAGTTCAAACTGCTATGAAACTATGAAAAATGCTTCAATACTAATCAACCAAATCTAGTTTTTCCATGCTAACATGTGGCCTTTCACCTAATTTTGGTGAAAATTGTTGTTTTGTAACATTTTTAATTTTTTTAGTTAACCCTTTCCCTCATGAGCATATTGTGAAAAATGGCCGTTTTCATTGAAAAGCCTCCTGTTACAAGTTCAAACTGCTATGAAACAATGAAAAATGCTTCAATACTAATCAAACTTGGCACAAATGTTGACTGGACCATTGCCTTTGTAAGGACATGCTCAGTCTTAAATTTCAAAGTGTTGCAACTTCTCAAGGGATTGAGATAGAGTCAAAGGCTTTTCAGCGTTGGTTACACGCTACCTTATGATCGACCTGGGGTCATTTTTTGTGTCTCACAAGTTCAAAATTTTCTTGGCGATTAGGGGGACTACCAGCCCCCTTCAAACCCCCCAAACAGAAGGGGGCACATCCCCCTTCTGGCAACCCCCTGATGTATTATTTGGATGGGGGGAGTGGTGCCGAAAAAGTGCTCACTTTTTTTAGCATCATTTCTCAAACGCAAAAAATGTGTTTGGGGCATTTTTTCACTATTTGAGGCCTTAAGGAGGGGGGTCGAAAGTGCGTTGTTTCGCGTATATATGAGGTAAAGGGTTAAGATGGCTCAAATATGACTTTCCAGTACAGAAAAGCCATTATTTTGGTATTCAAAGAGAAAGTAGTGGTTACTTGGCCGAGTGGTTAACGCATAAAACTAGTATCACTAGCCACATGGGTTCAAACCCTGTCAGGGGCAAGTTGTTGTTTCCTTGAACAAGAAACTTTACACACATTGCTCAGTACCTGTTGGTTCCAGGAACAGATTTGAAAGTGTGTTTATAAGTTTAAAACTTCCTACACAAACTAAAACAACTTCTGTATAAACCAAAGAGAAAATAGAAAAAAAATCTGGAAACAAAGTGATCCCTCGGAAGCATTAATCACAACAAAATTACTTGAAAATTGCAGACTCAGTTTTATTGAGTCTGTACATGTGGGATAATGAATAAATGCAACATTCCTCACGCCTCCTAGCACCGGCTTGAGCGGTACTCAATTCTCAACACTTAATAGTGCCAGTATCAATGATCCCGAAGGACCAGAAAAATATAACAACACTGAAGTGAAGTACACAGCAACTTTTTACAGCTGCCACACAGCACTTGACATCAGATCTGCTGTTGTGAAGTATAAAAATCTGTAATTTGTAGTCATCAAGAATAGGTGATAAGTTTCTTTATATTTTTTTAATGTAGTTATTTTACACCATAAAAGACACAGTTATAATTATCAGTAATTATTATTCTAAGTTTCCTAATTGACACTAATTGTAAAGTGATAATAGAAAAACTTTCCTTCAACTAGCTATATTTGTTAAAGCAATAAGATGTTTTTCTATATATCATATTAGTTTTACATACAGTAATACATGTACTTACATGTATGTTAAGTGATTAATATTAAGATAAATGTCTTTCACATGCAAATAAATCTATATTAAAGCTTTTTTTTAAAGTGTATCTTAAACTCACAAGAATCTCTTAACCCTTAATTTCATTAAAGATTGTCTAGCTTTCATTTTTAAAAATAATTTTGGGGATATCAAGATAAACCTAAGTTTGTCATACAACAGTATAGAGCCTCATAGATGCTGGCTAATGGCTGTGAGGGTAATCATTTCTGATTTCAGCAGGGTAAAAGTGAATTATCAGTTGTGCATATAACCTGTATTGAACTATATTTACTAAAAGAAACTTGCCTTTGAAATAAGTGATCTTACAAAAAACCTGCCATAATAAATCAGTGTCCAGCAAAGGGTGATGACAGCTGATTGTTATAGAAAGTATAAATGAGCCGCGTCACGACAAAACCAACATAATGTGTTTGCGACCAGCATGGATCCAGACCAGCCTGCGCATCCGTGCAGTCTGATCAGGATCCATGCTGTTCGCTTGCCAACCCTATTACAAGTAGAGAAACTGATAGCGAACAGCATCGATCCTAATCAGACTGCGCGGATGTGCAGGCTGGTCTGAATCCATGCTGGTCACAAACTCACTATGTTGGTTTTGTCATGACAAAGCTCAAATGTATTAAAGAACACTGATAGAAAGTAGAAAATGAATAAAAAGAACCATATATTTATTGACAATTTTTTAAGTCAATTATCAAAAACACACTATTGTTTTTTATTTCTTGAAAATCTTTATTTCTTAATGTATTCGTTTTTCTGAGAACAACAAAAAACAAGTCATGTTAGAAACACTTGTATAATGCATGTATATAGTAAATAAATTAATTGAACCATGTTATTTTTTTTTTAAACTGACTTATCTAAAATGTTTTTATTCTTAATTAATTGACAGGATACAGTGCTTCAGATCAAAAGTCTTAGAAGTTATCTTTAATTCACTTAAGGGTTGAACTCTACTTAACAAAAAAAAATGCCTTAAGCTTATGTAAAAATGCACAATCATTGTTGAAAAAGAAATGTACTTCAAATATTTTCATGGATTTTCTTCCTCCTGTATTTACTTAAGTATTTAGGATCACAATAATTATTGCCCAGACAAAAAGTAAACAGTGACACTTAAGTAGTATAAAAGTATAAAATGTTTAGGCATGTACATGTCCAATGTACTACTATAAAGAATCAAAACGAAAATATAATAATTTCATAAGTTCTGTTAAAATGGAAGATTCATAATCATAGCAACAATCTCATGAATAGATCTTTCTGTTTTTGTTTTGTTTTTTGTTGTTGTTTTTTTTTGTCAGTCAAACACTGGTCATTTTAACTGATTCTATTTATTTATTATGTGGGTTTCACCTCATTCTGAAAATCATAAGGCATTTGCAAGCTTTATTAGTGAAAGAAGAATACAGGCACACCTTTATACATTATTTCAGGCTAAATCAGGCATCTGAGTTTAACCTCTGATCTCCTGTAAGCTAGTTGGGTAGCTTCTAGAAAACTCATAAGGAAGGAATCCAAGGTCATGCACGACCTTTATCTAAAGCAGTAAGATGCAAGTGATTTAATCCTTACCATGCTAAATAGACGTGTCCATCTTCCAATCAAGACAAAACATTTCATCATTTTTAATCAGGGACAATTTTGAAATATGTCCTGACTGAATAACAAATAGTGCCGACGATGATCTTTGTCTGCACTGGGCAAATGGGTAGAATCAGTTGCCACTAGCATGGTACAGGTTAAGTTGGCAACCTTATAATCAGTTACAGAGGCCCTCTGGCCTTAAAGCTTGAACTCTCAAATATGAGACCAGTAAACGTAATGAGGCTTCATTTTGTCTTATTCTATTATTGCACTAAATCCTTGATTTATAACACTCTTTTTGTATAAATACATGTGTATAGTGCATTGACTTGGTGCAAAATTGTTGCATCTCCTTGATATAAAAATATGATTAAGCAATTACTGATGTAAAATATCCAATTAGTGATACAAAATATTAATAAATGCTGTTTGTAATTGATTCATGTACAGTTACTTACTAACTTTGTTTCTACTTTCTGCAGAAAAATAAATCATAATGTAAATATCTATTTATATATTATCAAAACAATGATTCTTACCATGATAGGATTATCTTTAACACAATAAGAAAATTAATCATATTAGTTTGTAATCTACGTTTAATGTATTAAAATATTCAATGAATAAGAAATATGGTAGCACGTCACTAGGCTTAAAGCAAACATGTGCTGAAAATAAGGGTTTAAAACTTCCTAATTTTACGTCATTTATATGCTAGTAGTACATGTACAAATGAAGTTTCTGTTTATAAATTGACTCTAGATTAATCTACGTATACTTTGTGCTTGCTTGACTTGTAAATATACCGGTATATATGAACATTATGGTGTAGATTTATTTCCCTTGATAATATTATGCTACAATTTCATCTGGAAAAATGTCATTTTATAATGCCACCATTCTCTGTATAGGTGCTTTATTTAGCACTGTGAGCTAATAACACTTTATCGAGAGAACTTATAAAATGTGTCTATATCTCCCTAAAGGCATGTTCATGTAATATTATTGCAATCTTTAAATGTCAGTGAACATGGAGAGAAGTACAATGTAACTTGTTTGTTATATAATAATGGTATATGGGTTTGTTTATATTCCATATAACCTGTCTGACTAAATCAACAGAGATAAAGCTGCTGAGACAAACAGATTGTGTTATATAAGGCGTAAGAATATTACAATACTGATAAAGTAATATTTGGAGATGACTTTATGTACTGATATATATGTAGCACATTTCATTCCTTGAAATATCAATATTCATATGACATATATATAAAGTAAAAAAGCTGGTTTAAGTTAAGATTTTTGGGAAAACTGCATGATTTTAAAGAAAACTTTAATTTTGGGAAGAGGCCTTTTTTTCGGAGTCTGTTATCTAAGTAGGAAAATCACTGCATCTCTTGAATAATCAATATTCATATGACATTATATAAATACCTTATGACATTATATAAATACCTTATGATTTTATATAATTACCTATTACAATGTACATGTATAGTGAACATGTCAATAACCACAATGTCTAAGTAGTTAGTAGAAGGCAGCCCCCTTATCAGTTTGTAAAAGACGATGACTTGTATGGTACATTTATTGCATGCAGATTTCAAATTAGGTCACAGTAGCCTTTGTAAAAAGCTTGGTACTAGATGGTATGACCAGTTGCTGAGCACCATAACATTTTGTCATGAACCAATCTGTTTATCTGTCATTCTTAACTTTATTTTTGGGAATTAGATCATAAGCAGGCAACATTTCTAGCAACCTTTATTGCAAAGGGTTAAGCATTTCCTAAAAGAGATCTTGGACAAATCATTTAATGTCATAAAGTAAGCCTTCATGGTAATAAATATTATTATTTCTACTCTCAATTTTATCTTGACTAGTTACATATTACAACAGGCTCCTGCTGTGTGTGAGAGGAACTTGTCCTCTTACACATTTGATTCAAATAAGATTGTATTTAATATATAAAGCTTTATATTTATGAATAATACTATATTAATAGTACCAGTTTTAACAAGGAATTCTCCATCATAAAAAAATTCTCCCCACTCCCTATCCATACTTACACCCCCTATCAACCCCACCCCTGTACATCCTGCTCCTTGGCAATGAATATCCTTCCACTGGTCCTATATCATGAATTTTTAGGGAAAACAATGTTTTGGTGACATCATTGTTTTATAAAATTCTTACACATCCTGCTTTGGTTACTGTATAATTAATGTATTCATCACTCCAGGGACAAACTAAATTAATGATTGTGGTTATGTATCTACACAATTTATATAACTTCTATTTTTAGCCTAATAAGATGGCATGATATGTTTGAAATAACTGTCAGAAATTTTATAGATTTTTTTTTCATTTAAACACTGTGACACTATAAAGAAGGAAAACAGAGTCCATGATATTAAATGGCTAAAAATAAGTAGAAATATCATTAAATTTTTTTTTTAAATAAATGAAATGAATAGATAATTTGTCAGTTGCTCTTTTTTCAGTATGTAAGATCAAATTTTATCATATCATTATGTGTTTGATTATCCATGAAAATATTCCACCTGCGTTACTTCTGTAAAATATATTTTACATACAAAGCACACATTTCTTTTTAAAAACCTAAATACATCCAACATAATATTACAACTCTTGCCATCTTTCCTAGATGAAACAAAACTGAAATGCTCCAATGAAAAGACGATTAAAATAAATACAATCTTATTAAAATAAATATTACAAATACATGTATATTCAAGAATGTAGAAATGTATTTTAAATGCAACAATGAAATATTCATGTAACTGTTCAAAATACAATATTCATGTAAATGTTCAAAATAAAACCAAAAATAAGTATTAATTTCATATTCTGTTTTAATTTAAGTTATCATCATATTTCATATGAAATAATCATAAAATAATCGTTACAAAAAAATAACGCCTTTTAAATAAAACAAAACGTTACATATATAAAGTGTAACTGTCAATCAACAAAACAAAATGTTTCATGCTTAATTTCTAAGCTCTAGCTCTTTGGGTTTTTAAAAGAAGATTATTTAATTTTTTACCATATACAATTATACATATAAGAAAAAGCAATGATCCCCCGGGGCAGGGCCAATTTTGACCCCAGGGCTTTTAAAATTTATAAGAACAAACTTGGTAAACACCTGCTAGAAGATGTTTCATGCAAATATCTAAGCTCTAGCTCTGGGTTTTTTAAAAGAAGATTCTAAAAAAAAAATTCTTTCAGTTGCCATGGCAACCAGAGTTCTGCATGGAATTACATTCTTTGAACAAATTTTAAAGGTGACCACCAAAAGAACATTCCTGTGAAGTTTGGATAAATATGGCTTAGTGGTTTATAAGGGATGTCATTTAAAGTAAAAGTTTAAGGCCGGACAAAATGGGATCACAAAAGCTCACATTGTCACCTAGTGACAGGTGAGCTAAAAAACAAATCTAGAAAAATAGGTGGTACAAATAACAAAACATGTACATGTTGGTCTGTGAAAATATGCTGAAACCACTTTTTATAATCAATAAGTATACATGTACATCAAATCCCTGTAGAGTTACATTGCATTGCCATCTTTGTTAAAATTTGTGTTTATTAAGGAAAGCTGAAGCTTTTATTAAATCGAAATTAATATCTGAAATTCAAAATATGCATTAATCCAGTGCTTCTGGAACATGACAGTTATAAATTTAACACTGCTGCTAAATGTAACTCAACTACATTTGAGCCGAGTCATGACAAAACCAACATAATGGGTTTGCGACCAGCATGGATCCAGACCAGCCTGCACATCCGCGCAGTCAGATCAGGATCCATGCTGTTCGCTTCCAAACCCTATAGCAAGTAGAGAAACTGATAGCGAACAGCATGGCTCCTGATCAGACTGCACCGATGTGTAGGCTGGTCTGGATCCATGCTGGTTGCAAACCCATTATGTTGGTTTTGTCATGGCGCGGCTCATTTGCAAATGTGATTAGAATAATATTAACACTGGTCATCTGTCAGTGATAGTTCTTGTGTTTGACATATGATATACATGTAGGTAATGGTATTTTCCCCAACTGTCAAAACTGTGAAATTCTATTTGCCATTCAATCTTGAAAATTCACAAACATTTTGTTAAAATTTCATCCAACCAGTTCAATGAAGTTACTTTAAGGTGTATTTCAATTTTTTTTTGTAAAACACCATAATAAATATCATCAGCTGAAAATTAAGTAGATATTGATTTAGTTTTTTTTTCAATTTTGACAAATTACATACTGTTACAATATTTATGCTAAATTTCATGGGTTGTTGCAAAAAAATAAGAACAAAAATCACTGTCAAATCTCCAGTAGTGGCAGTACCTGAATTTCTATTATGTCTTTTGTGAACTTATTGGAAATCAAAACAAGTACAAGTAAGACTAACAATAACATGCATATATCCCAGCAATGTTCATTAATAGTCTTACTTTCAACACTTGAACACTACAGATGACCAGAGTTTAAAATAAAAGATGAAATGATAATGACAATGGGTTTTGGTGATATTGAACCAATGATTAAATATTTCATATAGAGTGATTATCCCTCGGTTATTAGAGGCTTGTTTCATCTAAAAATCAGCTTGATAAGAAAACAATAAAGCTGAAATGGACATAAGATGGCTTCTGAACTTTCTGCTGAAAACTTGATTCAAGTATGAATGAGTATATCAAACTGGCACACACACACAAGAAAATAAAACATTGTCTATTACTACCATAAAAAAAGAAGTATCATGTTGTCTAATTTTGTACTAATTGTATAACAGCTTTATTAATACTGATAGTAATCCATTTTCAATTCAGCTCTCAAGGTGAAAAATAGATCGATGTTTACAAGCCTCTAATGTGATTAAACAAAATATCATACCAAATACATGGTAACTTTTTCTTCAATAATTTCTACACAATGAAGAAACTGTAAGAGAACAAAAATTAAAAGTAAACAATTTATTTCATTTTTTTACTTAAACCAATTTCATCATGGTAGTTACATGTACACCTTCCCTTTCCTAGATGAATGAGATAAAATTGTGCTTATCCTACAAATATAACAAATAGTACTTGTGAAAAATTGAGCCGCGCCACGACAAAACCAACATAATGGGCTTGCGACCAGCATGGATCCAGACAAACCTGCGCATCCGCGCAGTCTGATCAGGATCCATGCTGTTCGCTTACAAACCCTATAACAAGTAGAGAAACTGATAGCGAACAGCATGGCTCCTGATCAGACTGCACGGATGTGCAGGCTGGTCTGGATCCATGCTGGTCGCAAACCCATTATGTTGGTTTTGTTGTGACGCGGCTCATTATTATTAATCAAATGTAAGGTTCCTATGGCCATCATATATACAGTGGAAACTCTCTTATAGGTAGACCTCCCAAGACTATTGGTACCTTAGGATTTTCAAGCTTTTATAAACAGTCTGTATTACCGGTAACTTTAAGTATTCATTCTTTATGGAAGCCAGTGTGCTTTAACAAACATGAGATCTAAATATATTTAGATCACTGTCAACTATTCTTGTGTATAAATTAATATCAAAAGATTAATAAGAACTCCATTCAATTTCTTATTGTCAAGGAACAAATGTCACTGATAGTTCAACACATTTTAGATTTTTAAATTTTTCATTGACAAGTTTAGTGAAATTCATAATCTTTGTTTGGATATATTATATATGCAGTATTTTTTGACATATTAACAGATTGGAATATATGATATTTAGCAATTGGTCCAGATCAGAGTATAACTGGACAAGCTTGTCTCCAGTTGCTCTACATAATACATTAATTACCCTTTGGTCCAATCACTGAATAGGGTGAAAGCACAGGGGCATCACCTGTCCTCACTAATGTGGGTTCAAATGCCAACAGGGACTTTGTATTCTTTTGATGAGAGGAAACTATCCAGCAATGTAACACTACAGAATGTTGGTGTTTAAACACAGGTGCTATTAAAGGGGAACAAAGCACTTCACCCCATAGACACTTCACCCATCAAATTAATTAATAACAAGAGCTGTCGGTAGGACAGCAACGCTCGACTATTCTTAGTGCTTGATAGTAAAA